TACAATTTAGGAAACTGCAGGGTGCACTATAACATAAAGTTGTATTACAGTCGCAATTTTTATAACGAATTAATTATAAATACTTATGTGGGACGAGGGAACATCAATAATTCGTTGGTTAAGAGAATGTCAGAGTCATACCCTCATGTCTTATATCCGACTTGGGCAATAACACACGATGTAGCAAATTTGCAACATAAATTGTGACGTATAGATTGAAAGTGGAGTTCACAAAAATATTAAAACGCACATAATTAACAATATTTTAAAAAATACACAAAAACTAACAAGTCTGTACATTTTTTTTTTACGTACAACCCTCAAAAATAGTCGCTTGTTTAAATATTGCTATAAGTGTTTAAACTTGTTGCTTAGGTTTATGCCCAAATAGAAGAATTTGTAGGTAACAATCAAAGTGTGTTTCAAGTATTATCAACGTTTCGCTCATTGTTTAAAAAAATAAGTGGAATTCAGGTCAATATTACCAAATTTTATGGTAGAAAATAAAAATAAGAAAGAAAACCCAATATTATTTGTATAACAATAAATTAAATTGATATCAAATGTTATTTTGAAACTATAATACATAATCTAATGTCGTTACAACAAACATGAGTGCAGATGTCACGATTTAGACGGGACAATATCGATGTTTCAATAAGTGTAGTCCCGTTAAATGATTAGCCAAGTCAGGACGACAAAATATACGGATTTTCTTTAAATGTTCCACTTTCATCCCGGTTTCGTGATATCAATGTAATGTTATAATCCGCATTTAATTAGTAAAAACTAATAGCTTCTTGATTTTATTAGTTATTAGATCAATAGTAGTTACTCTTTAAAAAAAAACAGAATTGGATGCAGCCACTATTGGAGGTGATAATTTGGAAAGGTAGGATACAGAATGTAAATCTATGAGCAACGATAAATCATTGTTAACGAAAAATCGATTCTGAGCGGAGTTCAGTTGATAGTGATGCTTTGTCAAAAATATATGTGTGTCATATTATGGTAAAATAATTAAATAGGTATAATAATATATTTTCTTTAAACATATTTGTTTAATATTTATCTGATTTTCCCGTTTTTCTTACGTTTGTCCCGGTTTTCCCATGTTTTTCGCATTTGTTGGGAAAATCGAAAAATTACCTCTCTAATGTACCACACCTCAAGATAATTTCCTTTCAGAAAAAGGTTCACATTATATACATCGGAGTAAGCTTTCTGGTAGAAAGTGTTCACATAAAACAAAAGAAACATTTTTGTAAAACCAATATATTCTTCGCTCCACTCAGAATCTAATATTTGAGTACAAAGAAAAAGTTCGATAATGTACCTTTATAAATATATTATCAGATTATTCGCATTTACCTACTGCACCGTAAAAGTGCATTGCTTTATCTGTTATCAGTATCATTATCATTTTCATAGTTTTCAATCGCAAACATTTAAACAATTTTCTATAATATAATATAGTAATTGTTTAAAATTTTATGAAGAGACATAAAGATATTATAATAAAGTTATGTATTTATTATAAGATCTCAGATATATTTTTGTTTGATTATTACTATGTCTTTATATTATTTAAAATATTTTGTTTCTCCTCGACCACAACCACTAGCTCAGTCGAAATTTATGAACACTGGCGTATTATTTAGGGGGCCTTATGAGGGAGGGCAAAGGTAACGAATGTCTAATCAATGAAAACGAAAATATGTTTTCCCATGAGTAATACGACACAATCAACGTCCTCTATGGATAAATGAAAAAGCAAACATTTACAAGTTACACGGATTTCAGTAGTACCTACCACCGATTACCATTTTTAATTTGCACATTAATTGCAATTTACTATTGAAGGGCTGTGCAGAGTAACGGGGAGAAGAAATATTTAGTGATCAGTACACAGAGTAATACTCTATGAATCAGTACAACCACTCCGCCATCCAATTACATATTTCTTCTTAGTCCGTGGGCAGAACATAATGCTGGCGCGATCTAGTGTTTCGTATAATCACTACTCGCATTCTATATGCGGTAACACGATAGGCACTTGGCACTTGAAGGAAACGATTTTTCTATAATGAATAATCATGCTGGGATATTTTAAATTGTTTGAATCTGTTATTATAAGAATCGCAGTGAATTCATCCCGTAGTTATTACTATCCAATTAGCACCAAAATAATAAAAGAGCCGTTACTGCTGATGAGTACGCTACTGTTGTAGGTAGGAAGTTTCAGAGGTAAGATACCTACATGAAGTTATTTAATTTACATCTACAAGCAATGATAAACCATTGCAAACTAAGAACGATTCTTAGCGTAGTTCGTTTATATATGATTTGAAAAGCCGTAATATTTACGATCTTTATCAAAATTTGTTCTTAAAACCTTTGTGAACAAAAAAAAATTATTACATTTAACTACTCTTTTTTTTTTTTTTTTTCCTATTAGGTGAAACTTATAATGAATCTCCTGTTAAATTACCAAGCACTAATAACGAATTATATTTTTAAAAAAATAAGAAACAGCATTCATTTTGTTTATACGGATTTAGGTAGTAATAGTCAAAATTAAAAAATTGTACAATAGATATATATTTCTTAATTTTTCAAAAAATCTCGAACGTATTTTCTCTCACTTTGGTCGTATTAATAAATTTGTTAGCAATCTCGTCAATGTTTATTTTTTCCTCTTTATGTGTATGTAATAATATCGCTAAATCGTTAAGTCGTATTTGTGTCATTGTTAATCTTAAGAATGGTTTTAAACGTCGAAGAGTAGAAAAAGAACGCTCAACTGATGAAACTGGTACGGTTAACATAATTTTAATCAATCGCTTCTGGTACCAAATCTTGTAAATATACAACTCTTGTTTTAAAAAATCAATTGCGTCCGACACTGGTGATAAATTAAACTTTTATTTGCTTTTAGCAACGTCCAACGCCCGGGCGAACTGCTCTGCATCTCCTCCAGGCACAGTCCGCCCCTGCTTTTTAAAAACATTTTTTGGGTACACGCACTTTTTAAATGATATTTTATGACAAAAAAAAATTTGCTCACTACGCCATAAATACAAAATTATTGAGACATTTTCAGACGTCCCGGTTCGGTCGGCCATGTTTGTGAGCACCGACCCGAGCGTCCAGCCGACTACCCGCGTAGCAACAAGGTCGCCAACCTAGGGGCGAGCACCGTAGTCCTGGGATTTTTGTGAGGAGAGGAGGGAAAAGGGGGGATCCGAATGAATAATAAACACGCGTTTTCTTTCGGGGAAACTATAGAATTATTTCATTGACTCATCAATCAAAAAGTATTATTAAGTGAATGCAAAAAAAAAAACTGTCACCCGAGAGAAAACGGTAATGGTAGGCACGATTCTGACACAGATGTACATATACGTATACACAGTATTGCGGACGAATATCTCCGTACAACTTATATTTTAAACACATACATATACACCAACTGGGGGGGGGGCGTCAACCGGTCTTAAAATTGTTGTCCGGCGGCGACGCAACGTGGAGCGCGCGGGCCGGGACTCGTTAATATCCATTGACAAAATTGGCGAAACCACATCGGCGTGCGCGTGCTGACCGACGCGTGTACAAACCGTGACGGACCTCCACCACGCGGAACTTTCGCGGACGCAGCCCGGGGGAGATCCCGGCAGGAACGTGCGGTCGCCGGGGCCCGCAAATCGCCACCGGCAAGGGTGGCGGAACGTTTTTTTTGTACCGTGTTGACCGGTCCGCGGTTTCGGTGGCCCGCGGGGCGCGTCCGAAAATGGATCGCGAAGCGGCGAAGATCGACCAATATATACACGTATATTCTTTTTCAGATGCACATACACACGCGCGAGGTCGCGAAACTCGGTACTTAAAGGGAATGGAAAATAAAAAAAAATAAAAAAATGCGGGGGGGCATCGCACATGGGATGTGGAACGCGGGGATTAGCACAATGACGCGGACACGCAAATCTATTAGACGCCGGTTGACCCCCCTCCTGCCCCCCACCCGTGAGTATATGGGAAGAATTTTACATACGAGGAAAAAAAAAAAATTTTAGATAAAAATATTCACACGGGGGACCCTAACTGAACTACCTTAAAAAACTAACCAACTAACGGGGTATCGGCCGATTATTAAATCACATGTACATTACCATTCGTCGCGCCCGAAGATGTCCGCCCGGCGGACCAGATCGGGACTCACTCCATCGGGTTCGTTTGAGGCACCGTCATGAAACGTGCCAAGGTCGTACACGACCTTTTCTGGACGGCAAAATATGCGAATCCGCGCAACACACGGGAGTGTTGTACCGAGAGAACTGTACCGAAAAGACCGTCCGGTGACAAAGTCTCGAGACGACGTGCAGACACGAAGAAGGAAAGTAACGAACAGAACGAATAAAACCGAGTGGCGGAGCGCGGAGACGTTCGTGGCACACGTCGCCGCGGGCCGACGTTTTTGGCGATAAGTGATCTGATTGGCCGTTAACCCGCAGTCAAGAATATAATATTATTGTGAATCGCAAAAGATTGCGATCGCACAAAACCTTTGCGCGGGGAATTATTGTTCACGATGACATAACATGTCCGTCGACGACGCGGGCGTAATCTATTGACCGGTCGACCGTATCGATTGTAGCCACGCTTGTCCTTTGAACACGGAAAATGGTCGTTTTTGCACGTTACAATTATTACACGGTATTCCAAAGTGCCCATGTATTTTTGTCTTTTATCGTATTTTTTTTTTTTCTTATTACAACCATACTTTTCGTTGTTTTTAAATATCATATTAACCGTTCTTCAGACACTCACCAAATAAATTTTTAGTAAGTACATGGTATAAAGGTCAAATCATAAATTGACAATTTCGGCTTATGTTATCAGAATTTAAATTTGTTTTCTCCTTTATATTTTGTTGGTAAATAAGGTTAGGCAGATAAGTTTTATTATACAATTTTCCACAAACTCCTAGTCCAGAAGACGAAACTTTGAGATTGACGATTGATCATAGTAGAATTGACCCTCAGTTTGGTTTATCAATCATAATTCTGTGCATGAACCAAGGACATGATGTACATTTGTACATTATATAGGTAATTGTCATTGTATTAAATTTGTTACCCATCTGAAAACAATTTGTTTAAAAAAAAAAAAAATTGTTTTCAGCGACTAAACATCTTATTTCTTACAATGCACAAATAGTAATTGATTATAAGCCATACTTTGGTTAGTAAATTATTAAAATTATTTGATATAGGTAGGTATAATTTTGTACGATTAAGTATGTATAGTATTAAATGTATAAATTCACAACATCAGTGTTGGAAAAAACCCACATTACATGGTATTCATTGTCAATGACATAATCACAAGGGAAGTGTTGGACCTGGTATCAAATTTTCCATTGGCCTATTTTTTTTTTATTAAAATATATAGATTGGCAATGTCGACTTTTAGGTATTTCTGATCGCATATTCTCTACTTTAAGATGATCATAACATTCTTGCAGAATATCAAAAGTATATTAATATCTGAAAATAATGTATGAAAATTAATATAGCTATTATACAAACATTACATACCTACCTAATAACTAAACATTTTGTTCATTAGAATTGATGGGTGAGTTTACAGTTTATAGTAATGTACCGATAGATCTACAATCCACAGAATACATACTGAACAAAATGGCTTAAAGCCAAGAAGTGTTTATTTATTATTATAAATTGTATAATTTGTTTGTTATTGATGCCTATAATTTTACCGAAGCATTAACTATTAATTGTCTTGTTTAAATAAAAGACAATATAATATTATTATTAGTATATTTTATCAATATTGGTCAAGGAATATAGTATAACAATAATTTATACAATTATTTATAACATGCTTCAAAATTAAATATTACTTAAAATACTTATGGATATGTTCCAGGCCGCATTTAAAATAAATAGCAATACATAATTTGACTCTTATAAAAAATTATTATTATGCTTTTGATTGACTATTTTTAATTATGTATTAATATAATATTTCATTTTTTTTTTTTCTAACATATATTAAATAATTCATTTATAATAGTGAGTATTTAACAAATGTGAAGAATAGGTCATTTTGGATACATTATTTTATAACACTTATAATAAAAATAAAAAAGATATTAGATTTTAAAAAAAAACACTGTATATAAAAACAATTAAAATTAATATCCTTATAAAATTGATGATTGATAAGAAAAATTTAATAAGTAAACAAACAAATATAAATTTACTAAAAATTATAGTAATCAAATTTAAATTCAAAAATAATGTGAATGTGGGCTATACGTAAACTGTAAAACTTATTTTTTATTTTACCCAGAGCTGATAATATAGATTAAGTACTTAACATAAATAGTAATGTATAGTATGTCATACAACCTAAATTTCAAAGGTAATGTTCATAAGGAAATATTGATCCATTCAGTACAATTATTAGTAATGATATGAAATAACAGTAGCAGTAATTTTCACAGATGACTTCAAAGTGGCAATTACAGACTGCTACTTTGGTCAATATGAATATATAACACACCTCACGTTACTGATTAAATTTTAATACAATACTAATTTAATAAATATATTATATACTTAATAGATAAGTTAATTATAATAAATTTCTACTAATATGGAAATAAATGTTTACAATAATTATTTATTAAATTATTTGATAGTTACATATAATATTCATTGAGGGTCTGCAACATTATCAATATATTGATATCAGCAATTTTCAAGCAGTGGCGGATTGTGCCACCAGGAGGGCGGAAAGTTTCCCAGTGGGCCCGGTCATGACTAACTGGCCCCAACATCATAAAATTAATTTTATACTTAAAATTGTTCTTTTTTATTTTTAAAAATATTAGTTTTTGATAAGAATATTTTTTATTCCCTACATGATTATTGTGCATATGTCTTTAATAATGAGGAGAAAAAACAATTTAAAATCAGATTATATGATTGTCTATAATAAGGTGGTTAAATGTGTCCTGTTCACAGATATATAAAATAAATAATTGTGCCGTAAAATGAAATTCTCTAGGGCCGGTTAAAATTCTGAATATGTCGCAGTTTTGAAAGTAACTTTTGATATCCAGATACATTCTAAAGTTTTTTAATTTAATAAAAAAAAATATTGTTTCAGAACCCTATTATTATATGTATACAAAATGTATTTATCAAAAAATTCAAGATATATTTTCATTTTGGTCATAATAAAAATAAATAACCAACCTAAATGAACAAATGAGCTATGGGAAATACATAATTACATAATAAAATAGATTTAAATGCATACATTTTCACAAAATTCAAAATTTAATTATACTTAGGTGAAAAATACAATAATTGATTCTGGTATAGAAATTTAACGTACTCCATCACGTATTATATTTGTTTTTCGTGTTTTTGGTAATACCAATACTAACAATGCTGAAACTAAATTATAAATTAAACAACAAAATAAATAAAACAATATTGATTTTTATAAAAGTTCAAACAAAACATTGAGTATTGCTATCAGGCCCGGATTAATATGTAAGCAGTGTAGGCTATAACTTACATAACCACGGAATTAAAAGTTTCATCTACAATGTTATTTTTATTAAGTAATTAAATATACATTTTTATTTTTTTTTTTAAGGAAATACAAGAGTACAAGTAAGAGTTTATGGTATTAATAGATTAAATTCGTACATAAAACTTTAGTAGATAGAATTTTAACTTGTGAAAAAAAGTGAAATAATTATACTGCTGTATAATTTGAAATTCAGTTAACAGTTTATTCATGTAAACCTATGCGCTATGATGTGGCACAGCTGCTTTAGGTTTAAATATTATATATGGAAAGCACATCACCATTTTAAGTGCTCAGCTTCAACAAGAAATCACAATGAAAATTGATCATATTAATAAATGTATTTTAATATGTGATTATTGATTCTCTTGAATATCAACTTGGCAAGACAAGTTATCGAAAAAAATAATCGATATAATAGGGTATTTGTATTAAAATTGTATAAAACACCAAGTTCTGTTATTGTGAGAAATACTAATAAAGCCAACATATTTTATTAATTATGTTTTTTATGGATAAAAGTCAAAGAATTTAGAACTAGAGCAGGTATAATATGTTTTCAGATGTATTAATAATTATGCATATGTAATGTATATTAGTATTAAGTATAAGAGTTTCAAACTGCTAGGCAAGAAGGCTTTTCTGTTATTAAAAGAGTAAAATTTTCTTTGAGGTTAACCACAAAGGAGGAAAGAATGAATGCATTAGCAATATTTAGTATTGAAGCAGAATTAGTCAAACAATTCAATTTTAATAATACTGTCAAGTATCTATATTCAACACATTTGCCCATAAAAAGGCAAGCAAAAGAAAAATACATTACATGATACATACAATATAACTATATACTATAATATAGCCTATAGAAATAATTTCAATTTAACTACTATTAGAAAAAATGCATAAACATTTAAAAAAAAAAAAAAAATCCAATTCACCAAATAATGTTGTTAACCATTAAAGTATGGATTATCAAAATAATATGTCTAACGAATTCGCTGAAATTCTGAACAATAATACAAATAATGTAAAAATTGATTTTAAGACTAATAATAATTTAATCAAACATATAAACAATAAAACAAAAAACTTCATAAAAAATCCCCCTTCTTTTGAAAATACTGGAATATATAAACTTAAATGTAACTGTAATAAATTATATATAGGTAAGACAAATAGAAATTTTAAAATAAGATATAAAGAACACATTTCAGAAATAAAATTAAAAAAGACTACCCCTAATTAAAATTTCGCTAAACATGTTTTAGAAAATAACCATAATATACGTTTTGATATTAATACAAACTTAGAAATATTAAATACTGACAATAACATTTACATTAATTGAGTTTAAAAAAAATTACACATACACAATGAAATAAAGAAAAATAATTTTAATAATATTTTAAATATTTAAACCGATTTTAAAAATAATATCTTATATCAATACATTTTAGATAATAAATAATAATCAAATAATTTATATTTTTTAACATATCTATGTTTAATAATGACTAATTTTAAATAATCTCTCGTATTAAAATAAATTATTTCTATATTCTATGTAAAATGACCAATTTATAAATTTTTTTTTTCTAAGTATTCCTTCAATTAATTTTTTATATTCAGTTGCCTTTTAAATTTTGACTGTGATATACTTGATGATGAATATTTAATTTGAAACCAGTAGTATAATACAATTATCATAATACTCCAGGCAACACTGATTCATTTATTTGTTTTAATTTTATATTTATTTACTTTATTTAAAAGTTAAGTGTAAATAATGGTCAATAATTATTTTGTTACATAATTTAAAATACATTCCATCTAACTTTTTTCATTTTTGTTTTTTCTTATTTGTATACTCATAATATGGCTAACATAATAAGTCCAAAATATAATGTTATTGTAAATTTAGGTTGTGTTATTAGGGGTATTGATTGGAAATTTAAAAAAATTAGGTGCAATATATTTAATAGTATTACCAAAACATATTTACAAAAGGCTAATAAAATAGTAGGAGCATAAAACTGATTACAGCTAATGGGTATCATGGGTCTTAATCCAGGCCTGATTATTATTAATGTTATACAAATATAATAAATACTCACTTATTAAAAATGAACACGAAACAATAATGGGAACTATACAGTGGACATCAATAAAAACTCCTATAAGGATATTGCCCATAAGTGCACCAACTTTACCAAACATAGTACCAATAGATGCAGCCATTCCTCTAAAAATAAAAAAATATTAAAGATACCGATGTTATATTAAATATAATTACTTAAGTATTTTACCTGTATTCTGTTGGGAATAACTCAACAGTAATACAATACAATAGACTAATACCAATACTGGAAAAAGCTTCAAATATAGAAGATAATACAAGATTTTCTATTGAAGAAGTAATGAAATACAGCCAAGCAGCAGATATACCAGATCCCAAGAAACTGAATACTAAAAAAAAAAAAATAGAATAGGAATTTACAATTATAGTAAAAGTAGTTATTTAAAATAGTTTTTAAATTACATATTGCAGAATATATAACATGATTTTACTTGTTGATGAATTCAACAAAATATTATATTACAATGTTTTAATTTATTGATTTATTCATTTTTGCTGTATAGGACAGGCATTATATATATATTATTATATTAATCAAATCTAAGAACACTTATAAAGTATTAAAACTGCATAATATGTGAAAAATGAACCTGTAAAAAATCTGAGTCCAAGTTTATTAACAAACAACGGCACAATGAGACTTGTAGGTATGCAAGCGAAACCGATAATGATGATATTCATGTATACAGACTCATCAATATGATCATCACACTTAGCATCTTTTACTTCAGGTTCGATTTTAAACATAGATACAATTTCACACATAGTTGTACTATTTTGGTTTTCTGAGTGAAGAGTTTCATACCACCGAAATCTATTCATCAATTCTGGGAACCACAGTATTAGCATGTAGTAACTATAAATATGTATTTATAAATATATAATAAAAAATTAATACAATTCAGAAGATGTTAATAATAATTACCCATAATCACTTGTCCAACTGTTACCTGGTAGTAGCACAAAAGTGTATAATGGAAGTAATAATAGCTATATTTTTGAATTTCGATGTGAACAACTCAATTGCACTATTAAAAAGTCCAATAAAAAAATTATTATTTTGTTTGTCAATAAAATCTGGTATAATTACAGAAGTAACCTAAAACAAACAAAAGAGTGAGATTCAATAAAATCCAAATAAATTGCATTCAATTCTGTACAAAAGTTTTTACCATGGAAAACTTACAGGGAATTCAGTATCTTTTTTGTTATTCCATCTATACACAAATTTTAGACAATCAAGAGTCTCATCATGTTTACCCTGAGCAATTAAAAATTTCGGACTTTCTGGTAACATCATCACCAAACATGCCAATATTATACTTGGTAGTGAGCACATAATTATAAAAAGATTCCATGATTTAAATAAAAAATAATCATTTTTAATCTGAAATGTATGTGGTATAACTACCCATGCAACACCTGAAATAAAAAATGCATTATTTTTTAAATTTGCTATGATTGATTATTTAAAATATAGATAATAATTGTTAATACACATAAATAATTTAATCAAATCAAAAATGATCAAATAAAAACTGTTAATTAGGTATGTAATATATTTTAAACTTACATTGAAGACTTAAATAAAAAAAATAAATAACCATAATGCTTACCTGGAAGTAATATTAAGCCACTTGTCCAAAACATTTCCATCCAAGCCAGAAATTTTTCGCGATATTTAAGATTAAGGAACTCCACGAGGTACGAGAAGAGTATTGATGTACTGGACACTCTGTAAACAATCAAACAATTTGTTCGTATAAAAGATGACAATTTGTATAGGAATATTTAATGTTTTACCCAAATCCACTTATAAGCCGGCAAACTAAAAACACTGGATAAACCTGAGACACACTCGATAATAGGTTAAAGAAACCGTCCATCAGCATACTGATAATCAATGTAAATCTTCGTCCCTTGGAATCTGCCACATAACCCCAAATAAGAGATCCAACTAACATTCCTAAAAATAAAAATAAATGTATGAAATAACCTATTTATGTAATTGAAAATTAATAGTTTACCAATCATCATAATTCCATTCAATAAGCCTTTACGGGTAGAATTCATTTGAAAATCACATTGAGCTGAAGGTATAATAAAAGACACTGATGTTACACTAAAAGCAATTGCTGTATACATTGATCCACAAATGAATAACAAGTAGTAATGAAATTTTCCAAATCCTGATTGTGAAAAAAAATTATACATGTTAATAATTCATTTAATATAGGTAAGTGTGTTTTTATATGACTAAAGCAGCTAATTATTATTTTAAACTTTATTATATTGTTAGTAACATATTATATAATAATTATTATGGGTAAAAGTGCAGTTTAATACCCATGCCTATTTTTTAAACATTTTTTCAGTGTATTTGAGGCGATGAATTTTAGTGTATAAAATAATAATAATAATAATTGTCTTATTTAATTTAAAAATAAAACAAAAACACCGGTTGAAATATGCAACAAAATCACCTTTAAAACCGGTTTAAGAATTATTCAGTACCTCCAAATTTTTACCAACAAACTGAATAAGTCTTGAAACTGCTTTGAATTGTAATTATTCGCACAAACTTTCCAACAATCACTAATTTATACTTTTACCTCAAAAAATCAAATCTTTGATTATATTTAACAGGGTGATTATCTAGCATCCAAAACAAAAAATTGCGAACATTTTTCAAAAACTTTCAGATTCATTATCTTTTAGGCACACTTTTTAAAATGAACATGGATACTAAACTAAACTTAAGACTTAATTTGATTACAAAATAATTTACTTGTATAAATTGGACGAATCCATTTATGAATTTACTATCGAGATTATAAAATCCGAAAAATCACCAATGGGAAATGATTAAGAATAGCAGTTTTACACCATATTATATTCTGTGCCACAATCATCGTCATTACAGACAATATTTCACTTCGTTAGAAATAAAAATGATTAAATTATTAACTACTCGTGCATTTTCCAATAATTTGACGACATAATATGGTATTTTGTTGGTTTTAAATCTACGGCTATAAAGTAAATGCCAGTAAGAAAGTTGTTACATAATTTATATTATTTACTGTCACTTAGAAAACTGGTAACATTTATCTCGCCTACTACATTTCGGATATTAAAATTAAGAATGCAACACGTCATGTTAGTGAAACCAGGAAAACACAAACTACTTTGGTATTATAATTTTTATATTACAATATTCATTGAAGTTCATAATTATTCAGTAGGTACCTAGTAAAAATTAAAACGTATATAATATTAAACGACAATTATTATTTTTGTTATTTCTTCAAAATAATAACTTGTCTTATCTTATCTCTACTATCACAAGTTTATGTCCTGTTCGCAGTCTTATAAACGACCGTGGGTCTGTTCCTTTATTTACCGCGAAATTAATCATATGATAAATCGGTTACCACATGTACAGATTCCGCGGTGATATAGGAGGTGTAAACTGCAAGGAAACCTTTGTGGAAGTCGGTAAATTTCGGTATTAGGATTCGGCAAATTTCACATCCCCCATCGATTTTTACCAACTTTACTAACAAAGTTATTTATTGTTTTTGTCGACCTTCGGGCGATGACAATTATAAATGTCAACGGTAAACAAAGCGTTTCGTTTAAAATGAGGAAAGAAAAATAATAAGATACGAACTAATCAATTGCTAAGAAAAAACTATTCTGAGCGAAATCCGGTTTTACATGTTTTAAAAAACCGTAATATTTACGATTAGAATAGAATAGGTACGTTTCGTACATTTTCTCGTTTTTTCCTATTTATTACGAAAACCCATGGAAAAATCAAAAAAAGTACCATCCCAGTAAAATTTTCTTTCAGAAAAAGTACTACACTTAAAAACCGGAGCGCATTTTCTTATTTCCTTCCAATTATCAATTTTTAATAGAAAATTTGTTCATAAAAATAAATTATCATTGTAAAACCAATATTGGCACACTCCGTTCAGAATCTAAAATAATTGTACGAATATACTCTTCAAAGTTTCAATCGTTATCGATGATTGGATATTTTACTGCATCAAAAGTTTGAACCAATTAAATATTTATGTATGTAATATTATTAAACACCAAGCTACCACACAACCAGTGGCGTGCCCAGGAATTTTCAATAGGAGGGGATGTAACAAATACAAATCGTGAACAAAGAGTAAAATCGTCTTCTCTACCCAGCTCGACTAGGTATGGGAATTGATAATTTAAAAGCCAAATCCTAAAAAAAAAGCCAAATTCCAATCAATACATCAAGTTTTTCCTCGGAAATCGACTGAAATTAATATTTCGATATTGGATCGCTCATATTTTGTTGTATTTTAAAGCCAATGGTGGGGATATAACCTCTAACCTTTCCCCTCTCCTTGCGCACGCAACATGTTATAAATCAAACCAATTATCAGCATCAATAGCATTTACAATACGTTTCACGAAATTAGCGACTCCGCAGTGGCGCTTCCGGTGGCAGATTTTCATGAGGGTTTTCTAAACGTGTGACTCGAAAAGCGCGGTAATTTAAAAATGTTGTGAAACGTTGTATTAATCATTGCGAACGTCTTCATGATGAAGACTTTATTAAAGAAGGATTCAGGGACCAGATTTTAGTGCCAATAGTTTTAACAATTAACCCGGAAGACAGCAGCGAAAGCGAGGATGACGACGATGAATCACTTCAATTGTAAATATAAATGTTAAAATATTAAATGTGTTATAATTATTGTAAATATTAATGTTAAAATATCAAAAGAAAATGTATATTTTGGTATATTATAATAAAATAATTATTTTTATTCATATTTTTTCAAAAACCGTGCAGTATTTCAAATTGCCGCGTATTGTGTGCAAGTTTGAAAAACCAAATACCGAAATTTTACTACCGGAAGCGCCACTGCGGAGTCGCTAGTTTCGTGAAACGTGCTGTAGCTACGTTTCATGTTACGGATGGGTAATGTAAATATAAAATTAATCGAAAACGATAAGAAAAGTATTAAATGATAATGTTATAAACAGCGCGCGCATAAAATCATACCGCGCAATTGCAATATCAATGGGCAGACGCTCAACACATGCCTACAACTTTTGACATTGGCCGTTTGAAGTGCGCACAGACGCTCGTATGATAAGCCGTATCGTTATTTTATTCGCATAAATTTATTGGCAAGCGATGACGACTGCAAAATAATCATCTGACGATTTAACGTCTATTATTTACTATAGTCAGTGGTCGAAGTGAGAGGAGTGGGGAGGGGAATACGGGCGGAATGACATCACATCACTTATTACAATCCACGTTTTTCATCCCTCCATTTATTTTGTCCAAAACAATACATCCCCCTTATGATTATCGCATTGTATTGGTGTTCGTGTATAATATTATGTCATTACGGTCTATAAACTATAGTAATGACTACCTAATTGATAAATAGTTTGGTTTTTTAATTTGTTTTTGTACCGACGACTGTATAACGATAAAATGCATACTATTAGAACCTATTGATAAACCGTATGCGCATAAATTATATATTTAGGTAAATATGTTTTACGTTTTAAATAAATATAAATATTTAAATAAAAATATAATTATACATACATACAAATTTAAATATATCAACAAATCAAACATCAAACCGAAAAATAAAAATGTATACATTATAAAAATAAGGTATAGGGCCATAGGAGTTCAGCTCATCACCACCTCTAATTACATCCACGTGTATAAGTCATAATATAAGAATAGTATACAACTTTACGTATCCCTCTACTATTTTCGAGCCACTTCGATCACTGACTATACAAGATACCTGTCTAATCAAATGACTTCCATTCGTGAAATTTTCGTCGAACACATTGAAATACCCCTCCTAACTATAGGTATTTCTAAATTTGTTGGTACAAATCTAGAAAAAAGTTTACGTGCAAGTCACTTCGCTAAATGTATCTATAAGAAAAAGAAAACTGTTTTCGGCCGCTGCAATAGCGTCCTTATGGGGGGAGGACGATAAAAGTGAAATGAACTTGCATTGGCATTTGGCATAGTCGTTGGTCCAGAATTGTTATTTGACATAATTTTTTTCCTCATCAGTCATTAGTAGTAAATTTAATTGTTTCCCTCTTTCCCCCATAGCCGAGGAAGACTGGAGACGCACTCGATTTTCGTTCCGTTACGCAAATACCGCGGTATTGCTTTTTCTTTTATCTTTATCCCCCGTTTTTTCGCGTGAACATTCATCATAGTAACTTTTCGGACAAACGAAACACTAAAACATATCGTAACGTTAAAAGTATTTCTGTCGCGGTTTAATATCGGTGGGGAAATAAGAAATTCCGACGGATAAAACGTTACGCCACGCGAATGACATTGCGAATATTGTGGGCAGGCTGCTGTGTGTATGGTTACAATAACATTTACAACAGCCCGAGACGACAAACACGCTCGCGTGATTACGCGATTTTAGACAAAGCACAATAAATACATCCGTATAACGATGGGCACAACTGAATAATTTCGACCGTCAAAAGTGTGTGGTCGACGGTTTTTTTTACAACTATGGCGAGAACTATTACGATGGCCTTTTTTTTTTTTTTTTCTGTTGCTCGTCTTGTCTTGGCCTTTCTCCGGCTGAATTTTACGTAGACTAACATTCCTGATTTTACTATCACGGATAAACCGCTCAGTGACGTGGTCGAGGATTTCTCTTCGGGGGAAAAGGGGGTGTTTTTATTTCTCGTTGAAATGTAACTTTAGGACTTTATTGCGCGAATATGGCATATAAAACACTTGGCACGCATATTTGATAATTATCTACGCGTAACACAACACATCTCGCATAGAAATCTGATGCATAACTGCATAATTTAGTAAACGTTTTAATTGTTGGCATAAATATGGTCAAAGGTTCGATGAACCAATAACTCGATAGTTTCAGTCGTGATGCTCGTCGCCAATAAATGTCGTACCGAAAACGTCAACTCTGGTTAGGACTTACACGCATATACTGCTGTATACGGTTCGGATATTATTATAACTATTGTTTGTTGTTACCATCTGCTACGCAGGCGCGTGTTATTTTAAATATTCAATTCGGAATAACTCACCGACCATTTCGATCGCCTTGTCCAAATGCACGGGTCGGTCCAGCAGACCGCTCGCCGGGTCGACCGCTTCTAAACCGAACAAACGAATAACAATAATGATTATTATTTTATTTTATTTTTTCCACCGTTATTACGATGATATATTTTTTTTATTCCCGGCCCCCGGTACGCAACGTTGTTGACGGTCCGTTTACCTTTCGCAGAGTCCGTGTTCGCGGCCATTTAGACAGAAGAGAAAAACAAAAACATGTACTTGGACCGTAGGCAAGTGTTTGTTACAGTCAGGTGTGCGCGGTGTGCAGCGGGCAATAATTAATTACGCGTTCAACGTTTTCTTTTAGCGTTCGGACGTCCGATAAAACGATTCGACTGTTCAATCCGCCCAGCGGGAGCGGGAGAGACGGCGGGGAAGAACCGTATTTTTATCGTACAATTATTTATTTATTTTTTTTTTTTTCCTATATTTTATTAACGAGCGCGCCGCAATAATTACCGTACACCTCCGGGTTACGGGCGGAGGAGGCGCGCGCGCGACGGCGTATTATCATAAACGTAAATACGACAGGTGGGTGTTACTATCGCGTTTCGTTTCTCCTCCGGACGGGTAACGCAACGTTCGTGAAAACGGCGACGGGGAGAAAAACGCACCGAACACCGAACGACGCGAAACACCGATCACGCGCGCGGGTCGGGTTTCTCGGCCGCGGACGGAGCACAGGCGGCGGCGGCCCGCGAAAACCGGGCATCGCGCGCGCGATCCGACAAAGGTCCCGGTAAAGGCCACCAGTCGGTGGCACGGCCGACGGCGTGCGCAATATCGTTACGATGACGCGGCCCGTAGAGATTGCATGCGACGCGCGTTCGCGCTCGAAAACCGAACCGAGCGGCAGCGCGTTCGTCCGACAACAACGACGACGGCGGACGGATTTATTTACAGTAACGTTTCACTCGGGCGTCGGTTTTTCTATTTTTTTTTTTTATCGTATATAATTTGTCTTTTAAACGTTAACGCGGGAAAATATCGAACGGACGCAAAGGGCCGTTGACAAAGACCGGACAGTATCGCCGTTCGCACCACGTGGGCAGATCCACCGCCGCGCAATTACTGTACCGCACTGCGACCCGCACGACTGCTGTTATAACCACTGAAGCAGTCAAGTCCGTCGGACAGGCGGCTGAACGGCAGCGGGCCGTGTCGTGTGTCGACCGTCGGGACCGATACGACGGCGTCGTTATTGTTTACGGGAACGTTTCGCGCAGGAGGGGATAATAACATGATGATATGTAAATCGTCACTTTGTAACAACATCGTTTACGAGGAGAGGAAAAAAAAAAAAAATATACAAAACACTGTAGCGGCGTATATTGGTCATTCGTATACATACATACATGACTCCCTGTTGTTCGGTCGGATTAGGTGACTGCACTATAGCTATCGTACAAGTACGGGGCTACCCACGCGTATTAGAATCGTTATTATTATTCGTATTCGAAACGGTAATATCGTTGAATTCGAAATGCACGCATTTTAGCCGCGGGTGCCGATTAACATACACGAGATACGTGTAGTAGTGAGTGGCGTACGCTCGGTTGGGCGGAGATGTTAGAGGTTATACCCCCTTCCCCATCCCTATCGGTTTAGAAATAGAAAAAAAAATAGTATTTATTAAACATTGGGGTTTTTTTTTTTTTCCTCTCTCTTTTATAGGATCCGGGTTTTTAAATTACCAATTGTCATAAACGAGTGGGGTAGAGATTACGATTTTACGATTCTTGTTTGCTACATCCCCTCCCTTTGAAAATTACCGGGCACGCCACCGGTATAGTAAATAGTACGATACAGGCACGTTTTTAAAATGTCAAATGATCATCTAAAAAACAATTGGCAAATATCAGTAGCGGATTTTCAACATTTTTCTGGGAGGGGTTCTGAAAAATCAATCTGTAAAATATCTATTTAAAAGGTATCTCTATTAATAGATGCCTCTTTTTTTAACGACATTTATTGAAATTATATCAGTGTCTAGGGAGGGTCCAGGTCCTCTGGACCCCTGCCCTCCGTAAACCCGTCACTGGCAAGTACCTATACAAAATTAATCGATCCAAAATAGTCTGTGTATTGTACGCAAGTTTATAATATAAATGGAAAAAATACGTCTTAAGATAATGGGGACGGGTGCAACCACTGTTATAGATAATTTAATGTATACATGCAAGCGACAATAAACCATTGCTTACGAAAAAACGATTCTGATTATATCGATTATCCGATTATATACGATTATATCCACCTTATATTATTATGTACGAGATATTTAATAAATCATTTGTTTTCGATTCTGAGTCAAGTTGAATGGATAAGCAATACGAATGCCAAACATTTCAACAGTTAAACAGTCAAATAGTTAAAAAATAAATAGGCACATTAAAAATTAAATGTGATCGTACGAAAAGAAAAAAAGTTATCATTATACAATTAAATGTATAAATAAATCACTTGTATAAAAAAATAAATGCGTCACCTAAAGTATTAAGGTATGTGTATTGTACGACCGGTTTCGAATTAAAAATTCGTCATCAAATAAATCACACAGTCAAAAAGTAAAATGTGACTGAATATAAATATATATGAAGGAATATACAGAGAAGAAATTATACAAATTGATCATTTTACATAGAAATAATTTATTTTAATAGGAGAGATTATTTGAAATTAGTTATTAGACATAGATATGTTAAGAAATATAAATTATTTGGTTATTATTTATTATCTAAAATGTATTGATATAAGATATTATTTTTAAAATTGATTTGTACATTTAAAATATTATTAAAACCATGCATCAATTATTTCTATGTAAAATAACCAATATGTATAATTTTTTTCTATGTATTCCTTCATTTATTTGTTCACATTCAGTCACAAATGATGAATTTTTAATTCGAAACCGGCCGTACAATACACATATATTAATACTTCAGGCGACACGTTAATTTATTTATTTATACATTTATTTACGATTATTAACAATTTAATAATTTCGTTTTTATTTTATTATTTTATTGTTATATAAAATTGACACCCTCTATCAAAAATGTCTGCTCAAATGTAATTGACCATTTTGACTGTATTTATGCTTAAATACATTGCATTTTAATGTTTTGAACAGTGGTGCCATATGAAGGGGGAGGGATAAGATATACACCCGCATTCCCTTGCACACTTCATCAACGATTTTTGGTCTTCGCCTTTAAAGTTTTATTTCTAAAACATTTGTGTACTGCTTTATACATGTAAACATGTATACCTATGTGTACCTTTGTACACCTCGAATGAAATTGATAATTATTATTAGACGATTATTATCTATTATCACATTAACAAACTGCACACGAAATAAAAGCCTACGCGACGTGATTTTGTATAAAATATTGGGATTTATTTTAAATGAAAATTCCGACATGTGCTCGTAAAACCGGTGAGAAGTGATCGAAGGTCCCTTTACCAAAAAATGTCATAGTTAAATAAAGTAGTAACTAGAAAGTCTATAATCCGGAGAGTGGCCAATCAATGTATCAATGGAAATGGATGGCACCATATTGTGTCATTCATTTCGTGCATTGTTTTAGCATCGACTAAATTCTAATCATCAGTAATCTATGTTTAGAAATTATCAGCTTAGGTTCGGTTAGGTTACGTCAGATGACATGGCCAATTTAAAGACTGACCTAAACATCATAAATTATCTGTTTGTAAATATTTAATCCATACCCAGGAGTGGACTTGGGAACAAATTTGAACTAGACGTTCATAGATAAAGGCCCCTATTACATCAATACCGGTTTTCATATTATATCTTATGGTGGAGGGGGGTGCATACAAGCAAATGTCTTAAAATGGGCATGGTTGGTTCCCGCCAAAAACGTACCTTTCCCTTTTCCGTCGATTCTCGTTTCTGCCAAATCATAAAATTGGTCGATTCTCTTTTTCGCGAAAATCATATCTTTAATTTTTCCGACAATTCACTTTTCTGCTAAATGAAAAAAATTAGTCTAATTATTTGAATATTAATGGATAATTGTAATACATATTTATATTTACTTTTATTCTCTAAAATGTTCAGGTACGATTTCGCAAAAAGAATATCTTATAATTACTGTAAGTAAGAATAAATAATATGACATTTTTTTTTAAATTTAATCACCCCTGTACAACAATTTTTAATATTTTTTGTGAACGTTTTAAAATTCGTTTTATAATACAATAATAATAATTTATGACACAATCGTTCATTAATATTCAAGTATTATACTAAATTTGTTCATTTGGCGAAAAAGGGAAAGGTACATTTTTGGCGGAAACGGGTAACTCCCCTTAAAATATGTTCTGCGACGACTGTAACTACCTGCTCGATTGTAGTATTATTAGTATTGCAAGTATCATGAAATAGCTATAAATTTTCCAGTTGTGTATTGTACCGACAGAAGAGCATATAATGTTTTTTTTTTTTTTTATTATCGTTTTAAAATCAATTTTTGATAAAAATCGTAAATATTATGCCCTTTTTAAACATATATAACCGAACTCCGCTCAGAATCATTTTTCGTTTACAATAATTAATCGTTGCACACAGATATACATTAAATTCGTCTCAACATAGGTACTATCTTTTCAACTCCCCACCTACAACAGTGGGGCACTAATCGACGATGAAGATACAGTGTATAGAACCGATACCTATACACGAAAATATGTTGTAAGTACCGATACAAATTTGAATATTGTTTGCAAAAAGTCCAAATTTCAAATGTAACAGAACTGAATCGATGGATTATTCGTCAACTACCACTCAGGCGTAATATTATATCAGACGATCCATTTAAGTGCGTACACTCATTGTCTCGGAAACTATCAACTTTTACGAAATTTGTTTTCTATAACATTTAAGAAACAAGCAGCTCTAAAATTTTATATTTATGGTATTTTTTTGTCACCCTTATTTTTGGGGGCAAAACGACTACTTATCTACTTTTTATTTTCAAATAGCAACCTATATTTCAGATTCCATAAATAAACGTTTGCTTTGACATTTTAGGTTTCCGCCAATCCGTTGACGATATATTCCACTTTTAAGATCGAGTTGGGTGAGAGAGTAGTGGTGCATTATTAACACGCTGCGCACCGTACGACCACACAAATGATACTGCCTTCACGGTCCTACCCATTCTTTTATTATCTATGGACAGCCTACGACCACATTTATATCTAAAGTAAAAAAGATAATTGTATGAGTAGTTCACGTCTTTAATAGGCGTATTTAGTTGTTTAGTACCGTGGACGTCAATATGTGAGGCTTAGGAAAGGGCGTGTCGAATTATAAGTTGAATTTCCCTCTAAATTTCCAACTTCTCATCTACAACGATGGCCTTTCCGTAGTGCGAAGTATGGCCGTCTTTTAATGTCGGTTAAATAATCGGCCCGGTCTTCCGAGCCGTCGTCTGAAGCCCGTCATATCATTCGCAGCCAGGTTCTTTAACCTAACCTAGCCTACATAGGTAGTAAGTACTGCACTACTACACAAGGATCGCTTAATATCCGTGAATACTTGAATAACACTAAAACACGGATATTAAATTCACGTGTATTAAGTATACGGGAATACGAATCATTTGTCGTTCACGTAAACACGTGTAGCGCGTAAGTACACGAAATCCGTGTAGTCGATAATAACATTAATAATACAAAAATTATTTTAAAATTAAAGGAATTAAAGGAGCTAAAATAGGCAATTTTGTATACGGATTTTATGTCCGAAAAATGTGGTATCTTCGACGAACGTTTCCTTTAAAAAATGACGTGTCGCGGTAACTGTGATTATATTATCAGTCAATAAACAGTTGTATGCGTACTTTTCTTATCAGTTAAGATTTTAATTTAATATTTACTTTTTGTATTTAAATCTTCAATAAAACCTAACAGGCTATTTACTAGAAATACATGTAAAACTTATTTTCATCTAAATTTTAATGTAAATTGTTAATAATCGTTTCTTTCAGTGCTGTTGTCATTAAATCTAAAAGAAAATTACTTGACTTCAAGCTGTAATCATGGTAAAATAAAACGTTCAATAAAAATTAATCCAGAAAGAAAAAAATGCATATATTATAATTTGTTTATTAGTTATTAATCAATTTTATATTTGTATTTAGTTGGCGATATTCAATTTACAAAGTCTTTTGACTATTTTATTGTTATCTATTTGTACATGTACTTATCTGCGACAGTTGTTGCCAAGTATTATCGATAGAAATAAAACCGGGTAAGCATAATGCAAATTTGATACTTATACCAATTAGAATATTGGGTACATAAGTTCAGTTATATCAACTTATATACTTTGCATTAATCTAATATAATTGTAGGTACATGTACCATGTGTCTACACTAACCTAACCTACCTACTATAATATCTAAGGTTTTTACTAACTTCAAATCTAGTGTTAATATGAATAAAAAAAGGTATATAGCTCTAATTAGAGCTACTTGCTACTTTCTACTTATCCAATCTTAATTTAAAATTACTATAGTTATTAAATCAATATAAGATTTTGGGGATAATTATCTACAAAACTTATTTTACTAGTTATTAAAAGTTATTAATAATAAAGTATTACAAACAAATATTGACTGATAAATAATAATAATAATAATAATAATCATTATATGTTAATACATCTCAAATATATATATATTACTAATATAATTTAATTTGGAGGAGTATATTATATTTTTCTTTTTTTTTTTAGGCCTTTAGGAACGTTTTGGAAATTAGCGAGAATTGGTGAACGTAAAAGTCCATATGTGTCATTATTTTGTATTGCAATGGCCTTCAGTATTTTATTTTGGACATAAGTATTGTTAACTATAAGTAATTGAATAATTTTTTTCATTTATCTACCCATGAAATATATAAAATATTGAATTTTTTTTCTCAGTAATGTGTATGAAACATATGCTATACTATATTATATGATAAAAATAATATTTTAGCTTTTTTTTAAAAAAATTAATTGTGTTAAAAACTTTTTTGTTTGTGAAGAATTTTTCTGGTAACAAATTTTGTCGTTAATGTCAAGTTATTAATTTTACTATTAATTTTCTTAATAATAGAAAGAAAAAAACAGTACTATTTATGCAATAATTGTACCACTAAGTACTAATTATGCGGAAGATTAAATACAATTTTTGAGTATTTATATAAAGCTAAAAAACATTGTACCTACATAAAATCACACGAAATTCAAAAATGTTAAATACCTACAACTAACTCAAAAAACCATCAGAATATTATTAATTTATATCCTTAATATAATTGTTTAAATACTCTGATATTATTTGAATTAATTGTAGCTATTTAAAATTTTTAAGTTTTGTTTGATTTTATATAAATGCAATTTTTTTTAGCTTTTTATAAATATTTGATAATTGTATTTAATTTTAATGTGGTAAAAAAATTAATCAAAAACCAACGTAGCTGTAACTCTTTAATTTGACAATTTTTTAGAAAAAAAACAATGCCTAGTGATCTAAAAAATATTCTCACCTGTAACTTTTGATACCTGTATGGCTGCATTTAAACTTTAACTTCAACTTTTATGAGACAATATTAACCTTTGTATGTAATTGTGTTGTAATGTTAGTTGAATTGAGATTTTTCAAAGTTCATAACAATAATGCAATTTTTTAGTTGTGTATCAGATCTGCTTATATTAGCGTATTGTAAATATTTATTCAAAAGTCTTCTATTCAATAGATAAATGCAAATTTTTACAACCAGCTTAGCAAAAAAAAAAAATACTACGATATATTGTACTGAGATATTATTAACAATTTAAGCAATTATTGCTGTACCACCTTCACTTAAGAAATAATGATCAAATATAACCAGGTAAACGAAAAAAAAAAATGTTTATGTTTTCATTGTTCACATGATTGAAACATAAAATAATATACAAAATGCAAAATACTTTTTATTAAACTAAAACCATATTGTTTTAATTTAATTTATAATATATCTGTATTAAACAGTATAAAAACGGTTGAGTAGGGGATGCAAGTTGAAACCTGTAAAAGACACATCCTTGAGATACTTAACTATGCGTACACACAATTTTACCCCCCCTTGTTTTATCCGTAGGAGTGCTTTAAAGCCAAAAAAAAAAATATCGGGATTCTTTCCAAAAGTCAAGAGGAGTTTAACCAAACATCCCTATTCCTCAAAAGTATGATGAAGTTCATACAGTATTGGTCTGGTCAGGGCAGCTATTCAGCGATCGCTGCCTGGGCCCCTAGCCATTTTTTTTCTACAATCGATACACTGAGTACATTATAATTTATAAATAATTTACATACCAATAAACAATCGGATTTTTTTCAAATAAACAAGTAATAGTCGATAAGATAGAATTTCGGGGTTTGGTAAAATATAGGTACCTATATAATAACCTGAAACTCCTCCCACCAAATACCAACCGTCCGGCGGCATGCGAGTATAATGTGTTTCGACAATAATCAGAAATGTTCGGAAATAAACTGCCCGTTCTCATAATTTAGTCACGTAGATTCCATGCACTATTCGTTTCTTTCCATTTATGATTTATGATAATTGTCGTAATATTAACACTTGTTTAGTGTAATTCGACTGGGGTGGTACTTTAAAGAGGTCATTTTTCGATTTTCCCAGCAAATGTGAAAAACGTAGGAAAATCGATACAACGTTAAACAATTATTATTAAAGAAAATATATAATGCCTATTTAATTATTTTACCATAATATGACAAATGTGTCATGAGCATATGCTGACCAAGTATCACTACCAACAGAACTCCGCTCAGAATCGATTTTTCGTTAGCAGCGGTTTATCGTTGCTTAGATACACATTATATAACACTGGCTGCACTCGTCCCCATTATCCTAGGATGTCTTTTTATACTAAAGTTAATACATACAAAGGTTACATTTATTTTAATTTGTAATAAATTACAATTTGTATTAACTGTTACAAAATAAAAGTTAAATGAACTATATCCGATGACTCAATTTATCTACTTACCACAAATATGAATAATGAATACAATAACGCACGGGTAGTCAGGTAAGTCGGGCCCCTAAAAATAAAATCCTGTCTAGTGTCTTCGATGACCGGGCCGACACTGAGATCGTAATTGAAGTCAATCAAAACTGTATTACTTTAATTCGCGTATAAAAATGAAGTTGATTTCCGAGTGTCTGTTCATTCGGTTCAAAGAGAGCCGTTAAAAGTACCGCGTACCCGTCTGCTCGTAACGTCGTAACGAATGTGCAACGGTTGTGCGTTTAAAACGCGTGTCCGTTTTTGACCGCGTTAACAAACAACGGAAACGGTTTTTGCTCGCCGTGTTGACGGCCGCCCGCCGGTGAATTCGCCGTAAAGGTAAGAGACGTTATCGCGCGTTATTACCGCGCGACGCAAATACAGGCAGCGAACCGCCGGAAAAACCCAGCCGGGAGCGTTGTTGTTTTATTTTTCACCCAATGGAACAAACGATAACTCGACCGCTGAACCGTTCGGACGCGTTGACGGTATTCGCCATTTGTTTACGCTCGCGCGTCGCCCGTCCGGCAGTACGATGATTCAGTTGTGCAACGCGTCCATTATGTTTAGCGCGTCTACATTAGCGTATTCTCGCGCGATTACGAAAGGTCCGACCGCTTTACGCAATTAACCGATCGCAACCGTACTGCCGGTGCGGCGCACGTTAAACCCGCTCTCACCCCGGCCAACGAATCGCGTCTCGTTCGTCTTACGGTTCGCGGACGACACGATCGCCCATGCCGGTAGCCGATCGTAACGCCGCCGCGCGAGGGGCGATGCAAACGGGATCGCGTCCGGTCCGTCGTCGGTAGCCCGGTGCGAAATCCCGTCGGACCGCCGATATTGGGCGTTCTGAATCCGGCTCGGGCGGACAGTCGGGTGAGTACGTGGCGCACGACGTTCGCAGTTCGATAAGTGTGCCGTAGCTTTGACAGGAGAACGTCTAGAAAACGTCAACGACGGGTCGAGAGTAACACTCGAGTGGCCAAGGGCGGTTAGAAGCGATGAGAACGGAATACGAATTCGGGAAAACAAGACCGCGCGGCTAACGGCAATCGCAGTTTACAGTGGCGCCGGATATGGGGTACAGATCGAACCCGACCGAATTTTTCGGCGGCGGGTGGGCGGGTAGCACTGGTGACCGGAAATGTGCACGCAGCGTGAGTGGCGTTCGTGGAAAATATCGTTGAAAAAAAAATGGTACCTCGCCAGCGATGGCGCTCGTAAGGGATGACCGGACGTAGTTACGGTGTCGGCGCGTTTACCCGACCGTATTTCTAAACCGCCCCGGCGCCACTGATGTCTGAGAAGCTGTTTAACGTATTGTACAACAAACATTGAAATATGCGATTTACACGGCGATTGCCGTTACGGGTCGCGTGCTACAATAACAGCCAGATGTAAAGCCGTTGATTATCGGCGGCCTAGTGTCCAGAGCGCGAACGAGGGAGGCCGTAGGCACCTCGGTTCGGGTCGTGTCTTTTTCGCCGGCGTCAGCTCTACTCGCGGGACGAGAGCAGTAAAAGAGTCGGGGGAAAAACGCGACGCGTACGCGGGGGGTAGGATTAGGTTTTGACGGCGAATCGATCCAGTTTCGCGTCGGGAAAAATAATCCAAGCCAAGTCCAACGGCCGTTCTCCGTGTCGATGGTACAGTCGACGTAAACATGTATACACGCATAGGTATTTCATTCAAGGTGAACATTATTTTGTTTTCGTTCACCCATAACGCCTACGCATTCATATTTTGTTTCGGAAAATATTAACATCGTCAACAATTTCTGTTGACCCGAACGAGTTGCGCACAAATGACATTCGCGGACAGGACGTCGTAGACCGCGTTCCCGTCCCCATATGTTTGATAATACAGCTGCTATCATAATATTGAAAAATCAAAACATTGTTAGTAGCCATTTATTCAGTACCCGAGTGTTTTTCATTTTTCGTGTTCAGTTTTTCATTATTTTTAGTTTTTCTATTCGTCGCAGACAAACCCATGCCGGTTTTACCGATTCTTAATTTACCTATTGTAATTGCTGCTCGTTTTGCAGTTGAAGACATATGGAATCGTTCAACTCATTAAATTTACGAGTTGGTGAATGTTCGTTTTTAGAAACTGTCCTGATTGACGTTAGACGTTTCATCAAAATTTTCGATTCTGAAAACAAAAAGTTGGTAATTGCTGCGTACATTTATTTAATTTGAATCGATACATTTACATTATTTGTTGTTTTAGACACGTCCTTGTATTTCCTCCGCTAAGTGCACGCAATCGTTTTTTGATTCACAATTTAGTACAGAATTTTTTTAATGAATTGAATACCATATCTATTGGTAGTAGCTACGGAAGACGTACAGTCGTTTATCATTCTTCACTTAAACCAATGTAAGTTGAAACAATTTAAGAATTATTTTTAAACACGTTTTTATCTTTTTAATTTTTTTAATGTAATTCTTTAATCACATTATTTAATTTACACAAGTAGTTCTAGACAATAACGAATACCTATTTTTATATTAATTCACTAATGAAATTATAACAGTAGATATGAATATCAAGTGCTACAGTAGAATGTATTGTGCAATTTCACTTTTAGACTTGATGAATTATTAATTTTGGACTCTGTATACCTTTGTATTTTAAATTTTTTAATGTATTTAGATACATTATTATACAATACTTGAGAATTTGCCATCCATTTCTTTCTAATGGGCAATATAGTTCATGTATACATATTCAGAGTTTTTAAATCTAGCCTTAATAGACTCAAAACAACAATTACTTCACCAAATTAAAGATGAAGTTTTAATTGTACAATTTTATATTTAGACAAAACAAACAAGGCCAGGTAAATATTAAAAAAATCCCTATGTGAAAACATAGTAATTAGTAATGTAGTCTTTAAATAATTGTTGAAAATGTGAAATGGTTATTGTTTACTGGTGGAATTCTAAAATCACATTTTTGCGATATTGTCCACTGGCCATTAGAAAGAAAGTGGTCGCAAATGCTACTGTGACGATCTCTTGATTAGCTATGTTCTTTAGATTTAATTTGAATAATGATTTACAAAGTAAAGAATACCTACCTATCAAACCGAATAACATATATTTATAAAGTTTTTTTATTTAAGAATTCTAAAGGCATGTGTCAATAATCCACATGTATTTATTTGCAGACATAATTTGTTTGTACAATAATATTTTGAATGTATTACCATGATTTATTTTTAAATGTGTTTTTAGAATAAATCTTTGATAACATTTTTACACAAATAAATAAAATATTTAATTTCAATTTACCAAAACGTTTTTAATCAAATCATTTTTTGTTTGCAATCATTTAATATCTTCTTCTCCTTTCCCTTTATCCCAGCTATTTGAGATCTATCACTCTTGTCCTAAACTTCCACTTGACCCAATCTTCCATTCGCATACACTGGCTGTCCTTGAGTGTCTTCTAGTCATTCTTAAACGCATCCAACCACCTCTTTTTTGATCTTCCTATTTTTCTTTCTACGTTTATTTTCATAAGCCTCTGTTTTGTTTCTGATTTCTCTTTCCTCATAACATAGCCAAACCATCTCTATTTTCTCTAATTTTGCTATTATCAAAGTCATGCTTATGTTACCTTTTGTACCTTGTTTTTTATCCTATTTTCACAGATCACTTCACTCATCCACCTAAGTATTCTCATCTCATCTCATGATACACTAATTCTCTGTTCTATTTTTCCATCTACCACCTAATACTCCAAACTAGGCTCCTAGGGGGTTTTAGGGGTTCAACCCCCTCCCGAAAATTTTTTCTGAATATATGCTTGCTCCAAACCATTCAACATAGTTGGCTTTACTACACTTTTGTAGATCTTCTCCACTTTATCCAACCACACTATTTTCTAAATTATTTTTAAATGGTTTATTGTTGTTTAAAGTAAATAAACTATATTATTGTACACATTTTATTAACAAGTTATTGGTAGTCTCCAAATTATTATTAAAAAATAACTATATTATATTTTGTGTTAAACATATATTTAAAATAAAGTGCAAATTTGTATAGATTGTTATATTTAAAACATTTTTAAATTTTTAAAAAATAATTTGTTTTGTAGGCTTCGTGAAACAGAATCAGAACAACCAAATGAAATTGTTGATCAAAAAAATAATGATATGCATCAAGCATATAGAACACCTATTGAAAGGAAAGCACAAGAACAATTATTTAAATCACTCATGCCTGAAAAAAAAGGCAAACAAATATCAAGGTATATCATATTTATATACATGTATATATATTAATGTTACCTTTTAGTTTATGTACTGAAGTTCAATCGTGATTTTTTTTCAGAGCTGCTGTCCGTACAAAATCTAAAAGACCAGATATACCTATTTATATTCCTCGTGCAATGCGGGTATTAGCTAATAATATAGCTCCTAATATCAGCAATACTGCTAATAGTTTAAATTCAACTTTAATAACTAAACGCGATACTGATTGTAAAATTCAAGATGAATCTAGTAGTACACCACCTTCAAAAGAAAGAAAAGGTTCATTTCCACAATTTAATTTAAATAATACACAAAATAATTGTAAATTAGATTTACTTTTATCTTTGGAATCCTCCAATGAAATGTTAGTTGATTGTTGTGAAAGTAACAAAGTTCAAAATTCATTTAATAATATTTCACCTCGAAATTCATTATCATCATCCTCTAGTGATCTTTCAAATTGTTTAAATACAAATGAATGTAATCCTAATTCATTTGTTCCAAACGAAATAATTAAACCAAATAGTCCCGTGTTGAAGAAACATGTATTAGATTCATATATTAAAGAAAAGCCAATGAAGAACTGTGATAATGTATCAATATCCTTAAATCTTCCATGCTCGTCTGACAATCTCAATGATACTTGTAGTAAAAATTCTAATCTTGATAAATCACCAGATTCTAAAATATCAAATATTGACAATACAGTTAAACCTAATGTACTTAAACCTCGGTCAATCAGACAATCAATGATGTTAAATGTGATTGATAATACTGAAGAAACTGTTGTAGAAAACATAGACAAGTCTGAAACACAGAATAATGAAATATGTTTAGGAAATGAGTTAATGTCTGATTCACAAAAATTAGAAATAGAATATGATTCCAATTGCCCAAATTTTTGCTTAGATGATAGTTTCGGTAGTGGACCATTATCAGAAATAGAAGAAAAAAGTATTAAAAGTGTAGATGAGAAATTAACTGTACAGGACAATTCAGGGTTAGTAAATAAGCCTTTAACTAGTTTTAAACAAAATGTGCAACAGGAAAACAAAAAGAAAAAAGTTTTAGATATAGATGAGTGTAGCTGGGAAGATTTGTATGATAAAGAAGATGATTATATTCATCCAATACTTGTGAAAGAAGTAAGTTTTAATACATTTGATTTTTTAGGTTATTTTAATTAATCTATTACTAGTCTCAAGATTTTTTTTTATGTATGGTCGCACAGGGTAAAAATTGCCACTACACAAAATATTTTAAAATTATTTCTTTAAATTGCAATTTTGTAATTTATAAAATATTCATGAATAATTATTATTTTATTAATCTTATATAAATGTGTTCTTGACACACGAGTGCAGTACACATCATAATAGTTTTCGATAAATTAATATAAATATCATAATCGAATAATGGTATAATTTTGTTTAGTCAGAGTTATAAACCCGTCTTACAGATAATGACGGAAAAATACATATTTCACACTAAGAGATTATTTACCCTGTGAGACTAGTGACTGGTTAAAAATAGTTACAAATCAAATAATAATAAGAATTATTAAAATAAATATTTTCTACTTCATTAATAATGAAATTATGATAGGTAATTAAACATTCAAGTTTATATTTAATGAATCTCAATTATTGTGATAGAAATATGAATAATTTATTGTAAACTGTATATTATAATTTTTGTTTACAAATATTTGTCCAAACATATAAAACATATATTTTCTGGGTATCACTGAAATTCTTCTTTTTTTTTTTTCACAAATATTGTAGTTTTAAAACGTATGTTCAAAATTGTCATTGGCGCATTATTAATTTATAATAAAGTAAATGGTTGATATACATTTGTTTTATGATTTACAATGATTAATAAATAAATATAAAGAAATTAATTTCAGCTAACCAATAGTTGGTTTAATAATAAACCAATAGTTTTGTAGTGCATTTTTTTTTCATTTTACATTTGAATTATTTATTATTATTATTATTTTTTAATAATGTGTAATTTAAGATATTTATATTTTATAGTGTATATATTTTATTTTATTTTAGTTGTCTTCTGCGATTGGGAAAGTACAGGTGCAATGTACAAAAGAAGATTATCGAAGTCATCAAACAGCTGAGGAACGCTCTGGCGATGGAGAATGTATAATTGAGGTTTATGATTTTTCTTCCGACCTTAAAACGGTTGATTTAATGAATCAATTTGCAGCATTCCGTAAAAATCATTTTGAAATTATTTGGATAAACGACACACATGCATTAGCAGTGTTTGAGAATCCAAATTTAGGTTGAAATTTATTTAAAAGTGTATTTTAAGGTTTATGTCTTATTATATTTAATAAAGATAATATATTATAATAATTTTATAGCTGACAGGGCACTGAACACACCATTTGCACTTGTAAAGACCAGACCTCTTAAAAGAGCTATTAGAGAATCCAAAATAAGAGCGGAGACTGTCTCTCCTCTTCCAGCAACTAGACCTAAGACTTGTACTGCAATGGCGAGACGTCTAGTTGGCAGTGCTTTAGGATTAAAAGTGAATGTACCACATCATCGTTTAAATGCTGAACGTACACTGTTAGCAGATGCTAAAGGTAAATTAAATTGATAAATTATTTCTATGGTGCAAGAAGAGTAATGTCAAAAAAAATAAAACAGAAAATGTATTACATAATTATGGACCTTACGTTAGATTTTTGGTAATACATTTATAAATATAATAAGTAAATATATAAATTAAAAAATGTATGCATAAAAATAAAAAATTAATAAATTAATGAATGTGTCACCGGGAGTATTATGATATGTGTATTATACGACTGGTTTTGAATTAAAAATTCATCATCAGGTATATCACAAAATGTTAAATGTGACCCTATTAATTTATTTTTTATTTCCATAAATACATTTTTTATTTATATATTTATTTATTATTTTTATTTATGAGTGTTAACCATTTTAATAATTTTATTTTTACTTTATTATTTTATCATAATATATTTATAATTACCTTACTTCTAATTTTAAATTTAATTTTTGAACATTGGACCTTCTTGTATCAAGCCATAATTTTAAATTTAATAATATTAATTAATTTTTATGTTTATACATTTATATTTTTTAGAGAAAAAGATCCGTGATGCTCAACAAAAAACCGATATATGGGATAGTCTATCATAATTTTGTAAAAAATAACATTTTCTAAGTCATTAAAAATCTTTAATTAAGTATTTAAACTTTGGGATTTTGTATTAATTGTAAGTATATAGTATAATGTAAGCTAAATTTGTCAAAACTATTGTGTGTATAATTTTATTAATATAAAAATTATTAAAATGGTCAATACTCATAAATAAATATATAAATAAAACATTTATATATATATATATATATTTTTTTTATTTATATATTTATTTATTTTATTTATATTTTTAACTGTGAAATGATAATTAGCACAGAATTATTTTAAAATAGTGAACTTCAGTAATTTATTTGTAGCTAATTTAAAAAACAAGAGCTGATAATGCTGATGGTTGTGTTACTTTTGTTGGTGTAAAGTAGGATACATCGAGCCTGTGGTGTATTTTTAATTTTTACTAATAGGGAATAAACATATTATAAAACCATAATAACTTATATTAGTTACATACTTGAGAACTTTTTGAAAAGGCTCGATATTAAATATATATGCGAATTCCAATTGTCTTATTGCTTAACTAAAACTAATTATTACACATCAATAATTTTTTTTTTTTTTTTTTGCGTACAATAGTCTTTATCATAAAGGTATGTTTGTTTCAAAATATAAAAGTGCTACCTACAGTAAAGTTTAGTTGAAAACTGTTAAATTTTGTATGTTTATAAATATTTGAATCACATAAATATATATATTTTGTACGTAAAACTAACTTTGTTATACTTATTTTTAAATGGAAGGAATGTGTATAAAAATCTGGAAATTATTAAGGATTAAAATTGATGAGTAATAGTATGAAGATATGGCGGAAAATATTAGAAAAAGTTATTAAAGTTAGACATTTATGAACCAGTTTGATATTATGCCAAGGAGTTTGACTATGAAGAAAAATTAAGAAGAAAATCCTATGTATGGCATTTTAGAATATTTATGACAGTGTCGGGAGAGGTTCTGATGTTGGCGTTAGTGAGAAAAGGCGTTTTGAGATTGTATGTTACATAGTTTGATAGAGGATTTGTATAATAAAGGTTTAATACGAGTGTAAGAGTTGTGTGTGGAATAACAGGATTTTCAAGTTAAAGTAGGCTTGCATCAGGGTTGGTATTGAGTCCTTATCTATTTCTGTTGTAATGAATGAAGTAACAAAGAAAATACGAGGTACCATGGTGCATGATGTTTGCAGATGATATAGTTTTGATAGAAAATCTGGATGAAGCTAACAATAAGCTGGAGGAATAGAGAATAGTACATGAAGTGAATGGAATAAGGATAAGTACAAGAGAACAGAGCATATTGAGTACGAGTTTAGAGGAACAGGACAAGAAATTGACAAAATTATAATGGTGAAAATACCGACAGCTAACATTTGGACATAATTGAAATAAACAACATGTTATACAAATATTATGTCAAATTGATAAAAATAAATTGTATACAATAATAAATTGCAGGTAACATTAAAAATACTGATGTTACTTAGTATTTATCAGTCAATTCTATTGACAAAAATTGGGGTTTTGTTCAAACCTTGAATGATTTTTGTAGTATGGACTTTTACAGACGAGATAGTAGTATTACCATTTTCTAAAAATTATTCATCAAACTAATTGTTAAATAAGTTGAGTTGTATAATCCTTTCAGGTAAAGAAATATAGTAAAACATTGATAATACTTTATAAACGTTAGATACTTTATTTTAAAATATATCCCCTGCCTTAATACTTCAACTCAATAAAATAACTAGACAGCAAATTATTTATATTTATTATAACATAATAATATATTGGTTTAATTATTACAATTTAAAATTCAAATGGTATTAAAATATCTACTCATTAAAAAATTAATGTTGCCAGTTTAATTTTGAATATTAAAATATAGACACATAAAATCAGATATTAACTTATTATTATTATTAATGTAGTTGATCTTTCTGGGATTTGGATACTATTTTTTTAAAGTTTTTAAATAGGTAAGGATATTGTGCTATTATCTAATGATATATACTATTATGTGTGATATTTATCGTCTCCCGTACATAGAGCTATATGATTAACAAGCTCGGCAAAGTAAACATCAGCCCAAGTTAGCTGAAACAAAATGTAGGTACTAATAAAAGTATTAAAATTATACATATGATAGATATACTAAAGAATACGCTATCTCTTTAATATTAAAGGTGATTTATTTGATCAATGACGTCTAATCATTAACATGATAAGTAAAGCTTTTGAAGAAAAAAAAGTATTGCTGTGGAGTCTTCATTGGCCTAACTTAAGCTTTTAATAAAGTCTCGTACAAGGGATTTCTCATAAAACTGCTTGAACAAATGCCACATACCTGGAGTGCACTTTTTGAATCCTACTTGACCGACCGTCATTCTGAGTCATACATGAAGAAGTTGGTAACTGAATGGAAAAATATCTTAGCTGGAATAGGTATCACAAGGTAGTGTTTTCGGACCTATTCTGTACCTACTCTGCGCGGTTGATATAACATCAATAGCTATGTTTGCCAATTATACGGTAATTTTGTCGACACGTAGGTAAGAATCGATTATAACTGCAATTGATAACTTACAAAAGTCAATTGACAACATCTTTGTTTAGACGAGACGTTGGAAAACTATGATAAATGGTGATAAATCGGTACGTACACGTTAACTGTACGCTACGAAAAACCGTTCACCTCCAAATTTTGACGAATCAAACATTAATCCCACAAAAAGATTTAGCAAAATGCATCTCGACTCACGTTTAGGTTTGAAACACCACGGTGCACATCTTCAAAATAAAATTGGTACAGATTAAAGAAAAATTGCGAAAACTCTATTGGCTATTCGAAACCCACTCCGAGCTCACTAGATAAAACAAACGTTTACAATATGTAGGTATTATAAAACAGATTTACACCTATGGCAATTCAACTGTCGGGTTGTGCCACCAAGTTTAACATTCCTTCTAGAGCATCACTGGAGCATACCGGTTTGAAAGAAACAATTCGGCAGTTCGAGTTGGATCCCGGCATATTTTAACGTATACACGAGTTGGGAATCGGTCAAAAAGTCCGAGAATAAAAGGTACACGGACAAATATGTTTTTATTAAATACTATTATACAAGTTTTGTTACTTCTCTAGTTAATGGTATATATTCTACAACACGATCATGAATTAAAATACAATAAGCTGTTGAACCATTTACATTTTCAGAGGCTTCTATTTCCGAACTTACATCGACTGAAGAAGCTGTTGTTGAATAATTCTGTTTCGATAGTGAAAGATATCTTTCTATTTTTTCAACGTAGCCGAGACAATATGTTAAAATAAGACTGTTATCGCTTAAATTTGGAATTTTAAGATAATATTTATTATTATTATTATCGTCGTATGCAGTCATATTTAGAATTATGTTATTAAATCCAAATTTTAGCAAAATTCTAGCGTCTGTGGTTCCGTTCCATTGTATGGCAAGAACGGCTGAATTAAAACCTACACATGCCTCCAAATAACTCTAAAGTCGTCTCTAAACGTTCAGGGTTTAAAAAATCCACGCTGTTATAAAATAGCGTAAGGAGACAATTTTATAAATGATATAGTTATAACTTGCAGGTAGTTAGATAGGTAGGTAGATACTTACTTACTAAATGTTCTCACTTTAGAATGAAATAAATATAGCCTAGCCATAGTAGGTACCTACATGATATGTTCGTATATTTTGTGTACAATACATACCCACCTACATATTATATAGAATGTAATCAATCTATACCTATAAGTATCTATTTATGTATTATGTATTATTTATAACATAATTACCTTTCCATTAACAAAGAATTCATTATTATGAGCAACTATGTTATGAAATTTGTTTAAAAAACACGGAAGCTGTATTTCGATAAATTCTTGTGCCAACTTCATTGATGTTTTATCATCGTCTTTGGAAATATGCTTTATAAACTCTTTGAAAATAAAAATTTTCAATAATATAATAATTCAGTAGAGTTATTGGTAGTTACGCCAAACGATAAAATATTTCTACCTCTTTTTAAATCGTTCATGCTTTCAACAAGGCTATCAATTAAGTAAGCTTCCCAATCATTAGCGCCATTTAAAGTTGATAACGAAGCTAAATAACGACAAATAGCTATTGGTTGGGTTATTCTCATTTGTTTGTTAATTATAAACACCAGTGTCTGTCCAAATGGCATACCTAAAAAAATAAATTATAACATTATCATTATTGTTTCATCGTTTATTCAATACCACATAGCAGTTTTATAAATTTCAACTGACATAGTGTATTGTGAGGTATAAAAGAAGTTTGAGAACCTTTTATATGTTAAATATATCGTCTTTCGAGAAAAATGCTTGTGAAGGGAGGGAACAAACGGGTCTAGGGTCTAGGGGGCCATGTCCCCATTTGCCCCCGTGGCTTTGGGCCTGGAGAAATGTAAATATTAGTTTTAGTAAATGTAGTTTTCACTCAATTATAAATTAATTACATTAAAAAAATACTATATTCAATGTACTTACAAGTAGTTGCAGTAGTACAGGGTAAAACAAAACAATATTTTTAAAAGCACTTAGGAGGTTTGTCTAATATTATTATATAAAATATCTAATAAATTACTACAGTTCAAAATTTTATTAGCATCGCGAATAAGTAAACATATATTATGTATATAGTAAAATCTCATTAATCCAGACCCCATTAGTCCGGACACCTGTTTAATACCCATAAATTACGCTACCGTCAAATTATCCAAGAAATACTATTTTTTTTTCTTTCAAAAATGACTCAAGTATAAGCTATTTAGAACCATATTATATTCTACATATTGTTACATTGTCCTAATTTGTTCATACTTTATTTTTAGAAGGTAAATTACTATCAACTTTTGATTTTCATATAGAACACTAGAATCCTAGAAAAAATCCATCAATAGATGATAAAAATAAAAATATAATATAAAAAAGACTGATATAATTCGCACGTGGTCGAAGCCTTTAGATCATATACTATGTGCAGCCATTGTTGTTGGTAAGAAGTTGGGAGTTATGATACAGAAGGGAATGTAATGTATATCCGTAGGCATCGATAAACCATTGCTAAGGAAAAAACGATTCTGAGCGGAGTTTAGTTGATAGTGATGCTTTGTCAACAATATATATATATGGCATATTATGATTAATTAATTAATTCAATAGGCATTTTTTTTGATAATATCTGTTTAATATAGTACTGAATTTCCCTTTTTTTATACGTTTTCCCATGTTTTTTCCTGATTTTTCACATTCACTGGGAAAACTTTTGGGAAAATCAAAACAAATATTTCCTTAAAGTGTCTTCCCAGTTAGATTTGCTTTCAGAAAAAGTGCTATTATTGTAAATCGGAGCAAAATTGCTGGTAGAAATGTTGTCCACAGAAAAAAATTTCGTTTCAAAAAAGGGTCTACATTATATACATAGGAGTAAGCTTTCTGGTAGAAAAAGTCTTAACATAAAAAAAAATAAACATCTTTGTAAATCAATACATTCTTCACTACACTCTGAATTTAAGATATATTAACGGTGTGGTCATTTTTAATTTCATAGTTAACGATTTTCCACATTTTATAACAATAACAATAATAACAATAATAATAATACCTTTTGTTATGCTATCATTCCATAATTCTTTGTTATCGTATATCGTTTCATCAAACGAGAATACCAAGGAATTGAGTAAATATTTAATAGGTTGAGGCATGTCTGCAGTGATTGCATTAATGGAAAGAATTTCAATTTTAGTTGTTCTGGTCAATTCAAAAGCCTCTGTGACAAAAACATTTAAAATTAAAATCTAACAAATGCAATGTTCATTTATTAACAGCTTAGAAAAAAAAAAAGTAGTTATTTGAATATATAAATAAAATAATTGTAGGTTTATTGGAAAAATTTCAAGTAAATATCGTATACAGTTACAGATAAAAACTGGGACCATTTCATAATTTGGTAATGATTGAATAATATAAGTTATGTTTTACATAGATGATTGATAAAAAATGAATAGACAATGGGGATATTTTTATAAATGAAGAGAACATTTACATTAGCATCATAATAGAAATATTGTTCTATTATGCTGATACTGTAATTTATTAGGTATTTTAACTTAAAAGACATTCACATTCACTTAAAGTTTAAATTTAAAATGAATTTTTGTTTAAACATTGAGGAGTTTGTTCAATTGTTTAGGTAATATTCTAAAAACTTACCTATTATAGTGATTTCTCCGTTTGTTTTATAATCTATACATTATAATAATTTGTTTAAGTATGTTACACAATGTACATAAAAACAGAAGTAACATTGTGATTACAAATGTATTTACGTAAATAAATAATAAAAAAAATGGATAGGGGAGTAGTTGATCTTATATTTGGCGTATCGTTTACCATCGCCACTATTGTATTACGATCAGGGACATGCCCAGGGGGTGGTTTTGGGGGTTCAGATCACCCCTAAATTCACTTCCTTAATTTTTAACCTTATTTTTTTTATAAAACCATAAACTTGTTAGACGATACATTTTATCTAAATATAAAAAAAAATTCTTGAAATTTTAATCACTCTTCCAGTATTAACTGCGACAGCATAACGGTCTTTTTCAAGCTTACGTCAGTAGACCCAGACAATTTAGATTAAAAATTTGCTTCGTCTTCAAACAAGATGTCATACATACTACCTATTATAAACTATGAAAAATATTATGTAAAAATATAATGTAATTAATGTTTTTTTTAATTATTATAATTTACATATCATATATGTGCTAATTTTATTATTTATAATTATAACTTTATAAAATGTGTTTATAATATTTAACAGCAATATAAAATGATTACGGGTTTTTATGTATAAACTTATATAGATTTTTACCTACCTATTTTAATAATGTAGTTGTAAATTTTTAAACGTTTTAACGTTTAAAAATTAAAACCACCCCAAAATAAAATCATGGACATGCCCCTGATTGCGATTATCAAACTTCAACTATTTAATAATATATATATTTTTTTTTTTTGTAATAGCAGAGGTACCTGATATGAAATATCTCGAATAACTCTAAAAAGTTAGAAATATCACATAAATGATATATACGAGTTTTCATAATTCAATATTTCGTTTGTCCGATTGTAAAAATATACGCGTTTATTGTTTTGTACATGTTCAATAATTAAATAATTAAATCGTGTTTTATATTTTCCCATAATATTCCTATCTCAAGATTTTTGAGCTTTTTCTAACTGTTTGAAATTGTTTTATATTTTTTCGATTATATTTTTAAGCCACGAATTAATCAAAAAATTAATAATAATATGTAGTTTATTGTCATACAAAATATATAAAATTGGATCAAGATAATTCGTTCCATTGATTATAATTAATGGTCGTTCTTACTGGTCCAAAAATAAAATTCGAACAGAATTATTCATTTAAATGTAGTAAACAATTTTCAACCAAGTGCCTATTATCGAAATCGAGACTATAGTTTATTTTAAAAACAAATATTCATTCCGAACATACAATGTCAAATTTAATAAATGAAAATATATGTATACACTTAGGTATACATATTTTGCATATATATGCGTAGAAAGTTATTGAATAACAAGAATATACTGATTATTTTAAAACCTTGTTTTGTTTTTTAGGAGTTTTATTAGACACTTACATTTTATAATCAAACAACAAATAATATTTTATCAAACATTTGTCAGTATTATAGAATTGATATTAGAATACAAATTTTCATATGCATATATTTACCATAATTGTGCTGTAATGACAAATCGATATTTCTTACTCTTTTTACGAGGGTTGATAAGTTTTCGTATCCTTTTAACGATGCGTCAAATTCCGTAAAATGGTGTAAGAAATTAATAATACCGGCAAAGAATACATCAGCCCAAGTAAACTGTTATAAATCATACTACACATCAGTGTTAAAGTTATAAACATCTTTGTATTGAAGTATACGCTCGTTTCAGTCGACATTCAAGTATGGGTTATAATTTTTATTTTTAGTATCCAATAACAATCCAAACAAATTATATTTAAAATGTTTAAATTAAATAATTTACCATCTCGTTTTATTCGAATGTAAGTAGATACACACATGCATATGCCAAATAACATCGATATAATTAAACATGTATGATAATTTAATGTTTAATAGGAAAAAAGTCGGGCCACTTCACACGTGGGAGCAGCCACTGTTGTAGGTGAGAAGTTGGAAAGATAGTAGAGGGGAAATTTAATGTGTATTCTGTGAGCAACGATATGCCATTGGTAACGAAAAAACGATTTTGAGAGGAGTTCAGTTGATATTGTAGCTTGGTCAGCAATATATATTATATATGCCATATTATGGTAAAATAATTAAATAGACATTGTATAATAATGTTCTTTAATAGTATTTGTACTTTTTTTTTCCATTTATCTTATGATTTTCCCATGTTTTCCCCAGGTTTTTCCCATTTATTGGGAAAACTCTTGGGCAAATTGAAAAATTACCTCTTTAAAGTACCTCTCCAGTCCGATTTCCTTTTAGAAATGTGCTACACTTAAAAATCGTAACAAGATTTCAGGTAGAAAAGTTGTCCACAGAAAAATAAAAAATAAAAAATAAACCTTGTAAAACCTTGAACTTCTTCGCTCAAAAACTAAAAATGAAATAGAAATGAATCTTAATAGGTTAAAAAACCTGTGTGAAATAATTTCGTTGAACTGAATTACATTAATATTATATAATTATATGATTTCGAATTCCACAGAGCTTAATTACTATAAATAGACAATGAAATTAAAAATAACAAGTTGAGACAATTCGGGTATGCTGTGAGAGGACTGTAAGAAGAGTATGGCCAATATGCTTTGTTTGTGTCCATGTAGTTATATGGAAAACGAGCGTAGCAAAATTTCGATTTGTATTATTTATTTAATGCCCCTAATGAAACAAAGTGCTAAATTATGTAGACATAAATTTCGGGTAAACACTAAATATACTTTAAAATGATATATATATAGAATATAGCCACATAATAGGTTCGTATATTATTTTTTATACATCGCCCAAAAGTAATATCAATTATAATCATTATGTATATATAATCTATCCACAAACGATGTAGCATTTTTAATGTATTACCTTTCCATTAACGAAATAATTGCCATTAAAAGCAACTATGTTGTTAAACTTTTTCAAAAAATTTGGAAGCTGTGTTTGTAAAAACCGTTCTTTCGACTTGAGTGCGATTTTTTCGTCATTCTCATCGTTGATCTTAATGATCTTAATGATTTCTTAAAAATAAAAACTTTCAATAATGTCATAATTTTCTAATTTTATGCACACAAAACGGCAAAACGTTTAAGGATTTCCTCGTACCTCTCCGTAAATCGAGCATGCTGTCAACGTGACTATCAATCAAATATGCTTCCCAGTCATTATTGACTTTTAAACTAGAATGTGCTGCTAAAAACCGACAAATCACTGGTGATTGGTTTATTTTTATTTCGTAGTCAATTATCAACACCGGAGTATTCGCATACTGCCTACCTAAAACGGTTATATTTATAATTAATATATATGTATTTTTATTATGTTAACATATCGCTCCTACATAAACTGTCATCATTAATGTGTACCGTGTTAGCATTAAACAAGCGTATTATATTTTACGTCGGTTTAATGTTTTAATTTAGGAATTGGTTGATAGGTACGTTCCTTTAATAGTAGACACTCGATGTAAAATATTACAGTAATATTTACCTACATGTATATATATAAATATATATGTAAGCGCGCACAGCTGTACATAGTGTATGTGTTGAGTGCAATATTGTAAATGCGATATTATCATTTATAAATGTTAAAAACATTCCGTAAAAAACTGATTGTTTTATAATTTTATTTTATAAAATTGATTTTTCAGAATATCATAATATGATGCATTCAAATTTTCCATTAAATAGGTACTTATTTTTTTTTAAAAAAAATGACTTTTTTGAATATTTTGAATAGTTATTCAAACATTTTACATTGTCCATATTTTGATAACCCTTAGTTTTGAATATGGAATCACTATTGATTTGCAAATAGGAACTTATACTGAAGATTTCATAAATAGATGAAGTTTTAGTATAAATACATTTTAAGTTACAAGTTTAATTTCTATCATTCCGTTGATGAGATATTCCACTTATACGGCTGGGTAGTGGAGCATCGTTTGTATGGCAACACGGCGCGTTTGAATAGTGCTAATGAAAATAACTTACTTTTTTGTAAATTAAAATCCCATGCAAAATCATCATAAAACGACTCGTTGAAAGATCGTTGCATGTCATTAAGTAAAAACCGAATAGGCTTAGTCACGTCTTCATTTTGTTCATTTGATAGAACTTCGAATTTAGTTTCATCGGTTAATTCAAAAGTTTCTGTGACAAAAAAAAAAAAAAAACAAACAAATTAAAACCTAACGCATGTAATGGTCGTTTGTTACAGCGTAGAATAAATAGTAGTTATTTGAATTTATAGATAAAATAATAGGTTTATTGGAAAATTATTTCTAAAATATTAAGTAAATATAGTGCCAGATAAAAACCGAGCCAATTGATAATTTGGTAACGGTTGAATAATATAAATTATGTAATAAATAGATGAATGATACAAAATTAATAGATGATGGGGACCTTTATATAATTGAAGAGAACACTTACGTACATTGGCATAGTAATAAAAATATATTAATCTATTATGCTAATACAATAATTTACTAGGCATTTTTAAAAATAGGCACGGACACCCATATTAAATTTAAATTTACAGGGAATTTTTGTTTGAACATTGAGGAGTTAATTCAATTGTTTATATGTGAACATAACTACGTGCGGGACCAATAATGATGACAAGCAGGTGCTTAATTAATATTCTAAAAACTTACTAATTTTATTTATCTGTCCGATTGTTTTCTTTACACATTATAATAATTCGTTTAAGTATGTTATACAACATACATAATACAAAAGTAAAATTGGTGATTACAAATGTGTTTGTCTAAATCAGCAGTTTTAAAACTGCGGTACGTGGTAGGCCACATGGTGATACGCAGAAGGCCACATGGTACAGAAAATAAATAAATCAATATTGGTTCAAATTTTTTTTTAACGGATATCACACTATATTTTAATATTATATTGATGTATTTTACTGTCTTATAGTGTACTTTTAACGTTTTGAAATAATTAATTAATTATAAATAAATAAATATATAAAGAAATATATATATATATAGAAATAAATAATTTTTAATTTTATGTGGTACGTGGTCCATAATACATTTAAGTGGTACGCAAAATTAAAAGTTTGAGAACCTCTGGTTTAAATAAACTATAAAATATGAATAGGGTAGTAGTTGCGTTTGACTTTGGCGTATCGTTTACCATCGCACTATGTATCATACTTTAACTACCTATTTAATAATGTAAGTTTTGTAATAACAGAGTTACCAGGGACGACCCGGGTCCTATTTTCATAGAGGCAACATTAGTACAGTTTTTTAAATTCGGAGCGTAGCAAGTTGGTTTTATCCGTCAACAACTTTTCTACCAGAAGTCTTGCTCCGATTTTCAAGTGTAGTTTCTTTTCTGAAAGGAAATTTTATTGATACTTTAACGAGGTTATTTTTTTATTTTCCTAGCAATTTTCAAATTGAGAGAAACCGGGGCGATCGACAACTATCGTTTTTTGTTAACAATGGTTTATCGTTGCGCACGGATACAAATTAAATTCCCATATATATATATTCTACTTTCTCAATTTTTCACCTACTACAGTGGCCCACCAACCATGTGAACTATGTACATTTTTTTTCATATGGACTTTAAAAAAAATGATTAAATTCAATTTTAATTTGAAAGTGAAATAGTATCTTCTTGCTGCATAAGTTATTTTATTTTACAAATAAAATTTGTGATTACATTTTTTTAGTTAATTTTAAACTTGGGAGGACTAAAGACCTTCTAGCAGTCTTTCCCTTAGTTGTGCCTATGACACTAAACAATTGAACAATATTCCGAAAATAGTTAATACTTTCTGAGATAATGTGTGTCTTACGATAGATTAATCACTCTATATATTTATATGGTTATTCTACTTTAGATACTTAAATAATATCATTAAACAAAAATAATATTGTATTAAAAGTTTTATCAATATCGTAGAATTTATATTATTATACAAATTGTCACATTATATACATATTACCATGGCTTTGTAGTCTTTCCAACTCGTAAGCATATACTTTTTTCGTAATGAGTGGCAAGTGTGTATATTGATATAAATCAATATTCATAATCATAGTTATGGATTCAACAATCTTGGAAAAGTATATATCAGCCCAAGTTACCTGAAATGAAGTATACTTAAATTAATATACATATATACTGAAAATTACGTAAAAAAAAAATAAAATAAAATAGAACCGAATTTTAAAGTTTTTGAAACCTGTGTGAAATAACTTCGTTAAATATTAATCAATATTATATAATTATAATTTCGAATTTCACATAGCTTGAGCGTTATAAATAAAAGATAAAATTGAAAGTAACAAGCCGAGACAAGTTGGGTATGTGGTTAAAGAAGATTATGCATATAACATGTTTTATTCAGATCCATGAAATTTTGGAAAACGAGCGTAACAAAAAGCATAACGACATGATAATATGTCAAACAAAACATATATCTGTAACAAACAAATTAACACAGTGATTATTGTAGGTTGAATAATCAATACGCTAGGTTTCTGAAGATAGCCGACACCTGTAGTCCATTATAACAATTACATTTTTAATACTTTTAACATTAAAAGTACAGAGAGAAATAAAGCCTTTTATTATGCAGATATAAGTTATATAGGTAAGTACTAAATATCTTAACTTTCAAATGATATGTATAGGTTTGTATATTTTTTATTCGTAAAAAAAAACGTTGTATAGATTATAATCAATGTGTCTATAGGTGGTCCTTGAATGTGGTATAGTGTTGTATATCTGTAATTTTGTTTAAATTCCTTAATTTTTTAAAATTGTATCTCCTTCGTCTCCTTGTTAAACGTTAAATTTTATTTATAATATGATAATATGATAGTATTGAGTTTTATTAAGTCTGTAATATCAGAGTATAACAGTTTCAGCAGATATAATGAATGTCACTCAATATCTCAATTAGCTTGGACATTCGGTAGAACACAAGTCGCAGTCAATTTCCGAGTGAGTTTTAAAATTTAAAATGACACGAACCGGATTAATGTAAAACATAATAATAAAATTAATTTTATTCTTCGTGGTCAAAAAACCACACATACAATATCTGTTCGTGGAATAATTATGATCTTTCAATAATATGCAAACGTCTTCTTTTAACGTTCGATAAGTATATATTTGATATGTAAACTGCATTTTGTAACTAGTGTCAAATAGTAATTTTGTTTATGTAATTATTAATTTAACGTGCAAACAAGGATACTTAGAATATAATAAACATATCTGCAATAATTAGGGAAATTTGTTTAAATTATTTAGAGCAATTGATTACGTGGAATTAAAAAAAAAAGATCCTGTACTGGGGATGGATGTGGCTACTGTTGTAGATAGGAATATGGGATACATAATTTATACCTGTTACCTACGATAAACTATTGCTAAAGAAAAACGGTTCGGAGCGAAGGTCGGTTATACAAGTACTCTCCTACTGTCTAGCGATCCCAATCTCCGATAGATTAGGTTAGGCTTTAATTCCTTTGAAATCTACTCTTCCCTCCCCCCCCCCCAAAAAAAAAAAAAATAGGAATTTAAATATTTTTGGTATAAAAAAGTTGAAAAAAATATCACAACAAAACACTTTTAGTCCGCCGAAGGTTTACTACTCACTTTCCACCTATTTGTTTTCATTCAATACCGACACGGTGAAAAACAAAAAAAAAAATACGGGTAAAATAAATAATTAATAATTTGCATGGGTAACGTCGGACGGGACAGCTAGTATATATATATATATATATTTATCATGCATAATTTATAATGTATTACCTTGTTATTTACAAATAGATTATTATTATTATTCTTAGCAACAATGTTATTGAATTTTTTCAAAAAATTTGGGAGCTGTATATCGGTGAACTGATTTTTCAACTCCATTTTTGCTTTCGCGGCGGCATCATCGTACTTTATAAATTCTTTAAAAATCAAAAATTGTCATAAATAATATCATAATTCGGTAGTTATGGACACACAAAACATTTAAACATTCGCTGTACGTACCTCTTTTTAAATCGTACATACTTTCAACGTAGCTATCAATCAAATAAGCTTCCCAATCATTATTACCATTTAAATTAGATAACGAAGATAAATAACGACAAATAGCTAATGATTGGGTTATTCTTATTTCTTCGTTAATTATCAACACCGGATTATGTTCAAATGGCAAATCTAAAGTGATTAAAATCTTATTATTATCGTTTATTTTTTATAAAACGCCACACAGTTATTTTACACATTTTACTAATATGGTATTGAGGTATATGGGAGAAGTTTGAATACATAATAATATATGCTGTATATTTAACATACAAATTGTAAGTAGTAGGAGGAGAGTGTGTGGCATTAGGTTAGTGTCCAATACTTATTTGGATGATAATAATAACTTCCCTTTTTTAATGTAATCATTCCATGTTTCTTCATCGTCTAATATGTCTGAGAACGGGTGGTTCATGAGTGTTAGTAAATATTGAACAGGTTGATCTATTTCTGAAGTGAGTGAATCAACTGAATGAATTTCGATTTTAGTGTTCTCGTCTAATTTAAAAGAGCCTATGATAAAGAAAAAAAAAATTTCAAAACTTCATTTATTACACAGCTTACAAAAAATAGTAATTATTTGAATTTATAGAGTTTTGTTATATCTACAAGTTATTAAGTTATATCTATTATCTATAAGTTTATTGAAAAATTATCATTAAAATCACAAGTCAACATCGATTAAAATTTTAAATAAAAACTGGGACTATTGCTTCATTTCCATTGTATTTCTTGAATAATATAAATTATGTAATAAATAAATGAATGATAAAAAAACAAACAAATAATAATTCATCATTATGTATATTATTGTGATTTACTAGGTATTTTAACATAAAATAACAAGTAAAAATATCTAATTTAAGTTTAAATTGAAAGGGTATTTAAACGAATCTTAAAGATATTTTTTTAGTTCCTTAGCTGACCATTCCTTATGGCGGCCCAATTAGTGTAGACCAGCAGGTACTTAATTGAAATTTTTAAACCTTACCGATATTAGTTATTGCTCCGTTTGATTTATATCCTACACATTATAATAATTCGTTTAAGTATGTTTCACAATATATGTATAAAACAAAAGTACAATTTTGATTTTAAATACATTATAACATAAATAATATGAATGTAAGTACCTGCGTTGGTTTTTGGAAAATCGATAACCATCACCATAATGAAAAATATTGAAATCATCATAATCTGAATACTCAATAATGCAATGTTTTGTAATAACAAATTTATCTCAACTGAAAATTTCCGACAAACTTCTTTGGAAATAAAGAAAACTCGAGCTTTTATAACAACACATTTTGTTTGTCCAATTGTGAAAACATATCTGTTTATTGTATTTTACCCGCTTAATTCCATATTTTGTTCATACAATTATTGTTATGTTTGGAAGGTTTACGAAATTTCGGTTTTATTGTAATTTAATAAAAAAATAATTCTAGATCTTTGAAGTGTAAATATTTCATGAAATATTTATATATCAGCATTTTATAATTTAGGAAATATGTTGGCAATTAGGTAATTGAAGCCATTTGAAATTTTAGAATTGTTTTAGTTTTTATTTGGATTTTTATGGATAGGGGTGATCGACTCCCGTCGCCCCCTCCCTCTAAATACGCCCCTGGCTGCATTGTTTAACTATCTTTATCTATTTATACTATCGTAAACCGTGGTACTTAATAAACGATTTGAATGAAGCACATGGCACATATAAATGACTGCCAATACATGATTTTAAGCGTGGAAAAATAAAAACAAATTTTCGTTGTTTGTCAATAAAACTAAAACCATATACGTTCTTAAAGAAAAATCTGGCCTCTCAAAAAAGCAGATGTAGCCTAGGCTGCATGTGCTGCGCCTATGCGCACGCCTATGACTGCAAGCTGTCCTCGAGTGTACCCATATCATTCTCAGTCGTGTAATTGCATTCTCAACTCTGCTACACTCATTCACTGTTTTATTTTATTTGTCTACCATCCAACATTCCAAACCAAACCAAACAAAATATTCGGCCTTACCACACTTTTGTAGAACTTTTTTAATTATCATTTATATTCTCTATTTCCCATAAAACATCCGTCGCTTCTCTCCACTGTGTCCAATCACAATTATTCCTATGTTTCACATCCTCATCAAAACCACCTTTCTTTTGTACAAACAATCATATGTACCTCTCAACCTCGTTTATCATGTCACTGTTCTGCTTATTGTCGTTAGCTGTCTTGTCTTGTTCCTCTAAACTTATACTTAATACACTTTATTTTACTTCTACTCATTCTTAGTCCATTTTTTTCAAGTGCTATTTTCTATTCCTCAAGTCTATTGCTAACTACTCCGGGATTTTCTCCTATCAAAGCTATATTATTTGCAAGCATCATGCACCATGGAAACTCCTCTCACCTGTTGTCTCCGCACATATTATAAATGGACTATCCACCTAACTGAAATTTAGAACGCCTCATACAGTTTGACAGAATTATACACCGGCTGTCGACTTGATGCCACCATATTTATCGCGTCTTACGACAGGCTAAAAGTACAGTTATATAGATATCTATTATACAAATTAAATATTAACGAGTCAACCTCGTTTCTCAACCTCAAACCATTTCATTAATAACTACAAATGTAATTGTATTATTATTGTAAATTATTAATTATTGTATTTTAATGCTGAACTATAATTAATTATTGTAATTGGATCATATGATCCGTTGAAAATTTTAATTAATTAATTAATAAGTAAATAAATAAAGAATAGCTTAAAATTGATTCAAACCTACTAAAAGTAGAAATAATTGTTGCGAAATATATAACAGTGAAATATTAATGGGAGCTTGATGATCACATGTCGCTAATAATAATATAATATGTTAGGAATCAATCTAAGGAATCAATAAATAGTTTAATAATATGTAAAATTAAATTTAGGCAAATTATATAACCGTTATAAATAATGTCAATTTACTAACAAACTAACGCGATCTATCGGTATAACTATCAATATTTCTTAGATAAATAAATGAACACTAGAGGGACTCAGTAAAACAACAACCGGGGATAATGGCAATATCCGACATCGGCATAACCAATTTCAAATACAATTTACTACTAACAGAGTTCAACCATGTAGTTGATAATTGGAGTAAGATTTCTGGTCAGTGATGTTCGGATATTAAAAAAAAAAAATAAAAGAGCTGATACTGGGGACGAATGTGCCATTGTTGTGGGTGGGAAGTATAATACATATAGTAATAAGTAATGACTGGATTTATATTTTCTTAAAACACATAATGATGCTAATATTCTCTAAAAAACCTTAAAATATTCTCATTATATTCTCTTAGAAGTTTGAAAAATATGCAAAAATAATCAATGAACATCAATATATGCTTTATTATGTAATTTGTTTTTATTTATTTTTTTTACAACATTCTATAAGTAATTTGACACTTATTAAAATAGAATAAAATTGCACTTAAGTAAGAGTAAGAATATCATATAAATATAACAATGTAGATAATTTAGTTTTTAAAAACTTAAAATTCACGATAAACGTGATTGGAAAGGTTCAAAACAAAATTTTAGGGCATTTGAATAGTTAATGATGATTAATGGTAAACAAATAGGTTGATGTTATTGTCAGTATGAAAACAACAGCCAGCATTGTAGGTTATCCACCTTATTTAGCTAAACGGTAGCACACTAAACATTTGATCATAATGACAAAAAAAAAAAAAAATTAAAATGTAAACGTTCAAATTATATTTTTTCAGGTATCGTATTATTAAAACTAATATTTTTTTTCTCACAAATTACAAAATATTCTAAAATATGCAAGATAAGCTAAATAACCCTATTAATTTTACGGTTTACATGAAATATTCTCAAATATGTAAAAAATCTTTTTCCTATCAACTCAAAACTGAATGAATCGTCATCATTTCTTACTCTCATAGGACTGCATAAGTAACGATATGTAAAAAAATATAAAACCGGTCTTTAGTAACAAGTAGATTTTTAGCGGAGCGAACTCAACCAGAAATTTTGTTCCAACTTGTAATGATAGCTATGTTTCTAAAAGGAAATGTCACTAGGGAGGTACTTGAAAGAAGTGATTTTTCGATTTTCTCAGAAGTTTTCTCAGCAAATGTGAAAAACCGGGATAAAACACGGAAGAACTGTGAAAAACGTAGGAAAACTAAGAAAATCGGTATAACATTAAACAAATATTATTAAAGAAAATATATAAAGCTTATTTAATTATTTTACTAGGTATAAAATGACATACATATTGTTAATAAAGCATCACTATCAAGGGAACTCCGCTCAGAATATTTTTTTTGAAGCGATGGTTTATCGTTGCTTACAGGCATACATTAAATTATCTATGAAAGTGTCTGCACCCGTTCTCATTATCCTAGGACGTTTTTATATATATTTTTTTTTATATACTTTGTATAGAAATCCTACCAGAAATCTTGCTTCAATGTATCCAGTAACTATTCTGAAAGGCAATTTTATATAAGTAGTTAGTACTTTAAGGAAGTAATTTTTTGATTTTTCAAGCAATTTTCATAATAATTGGGAAAAACTCAGGAAAACCGGAAGATTTACGAAAATTATTTTAAATTTTGTTTTTTTTGTTGCTATCTAGTTAAAAATATTTGTTAAAATTTAGACAGAAAACTTATAATTGCTTTTTCCAGACGTTGTGAAATTTTTAATACATTTGAGACGTTTTTGAGATATTTAAAGACATTTACATTTTGCGAGTTACATGCGTAATTTTAGTTTCTGAGTGGAGCAAAGAAGTTTATGGTTTTACAAAGATGTTTTTTTTATTTATCTGTGGACAACATTTTCCTACCAGATATCTTGCTCCGATTTATAACGGTTGCAATTTTTCCGAAAGAAAATCTGACTGGAGAGGTACTTCAAGAAGGTCATTTTTTGATTTTCCCAAGAGTTCTCGTAGCAAATGTGAAAAACCGGGAACGAACACGGGAAAACTGGGAGAAACGTAGAAAAAACGGGAAAATCGGTTACAACATTAAACAAATATTATCGGTTTTTTTTTTTTTTTTTTAAATCGTATTGATTATTATACTTTACGTACGACAACAGATTTTCACGGAAAAATGACAGTATCGTTTTGTCGGAGTACGTCGAAGTCCGTTCGCGATGTCGCACGCCCGTCGTAAATTCCCGGTTTTCCACCCGCGGCGCGGAATATTAACGCGAGGTGTTTTTCTGTTTTTTTTTTTTCCACGCGCGGTGTTTTCCGCCCGAAGTTTTCTTCAATCGCCCGGGGCGTGCGGCGGGGGCGCACGATTCCGCCGCCGCGGTACATCACAGCGTAACGCGCGCGTGTACAGGCGCGCCGTCGACACACGCGCGCAGTCCGCGAAATGTTTTTGTCGGCGGCCACGCGCGGGATCGTTGCGCGCCGGCGGGTACCCGATTTCCCGTTCGAGCCGCGGGCGCACGGTGGACCGCGAACGAAGACGCACGGTAATTAAGCAGCGCGCGTACCGCCGCCGTTCGGGGACGGCCCCGCGCGCACGAACATATTACGGCCGGTGCGGCGCCCGCCGTTCGCGCGGCGCCCGAACAACGACGGGGAGTTCCCAACTCGGGACAATGGCCGGGGATTCGCGTCCCGCCGCCGGAACGCGCAAGAACAGATGTCTTAAATTATATATCAATACATACGTATATTTTACGAACGCCGTCCTAGATAATTACCTGGGCGAACGTCGCACAATCGATTATAATGTTACGATCGCGTCCGCGGCCGTGTCCGCGCCATTGACTTTCCGCCAACGTGTACGCCGTTATCATTGTTATCGCGCGGGGGCACCGGGGTCGGTTATTGTTGTTGTTTTTTTTTTTTCTCTCGCGCCGCGGTACGGCGATCGTCTCGGCGGGATCTCGCCCAGCGCCGGGCGTCAACGATATTCGTTACCCGCGCAATTGTACAACGCCGTACACGACAACGGTTTGACGGCGGACACGCGACCGAGATCACACGACGCGTTTTTCCATCGGTCCGTTTGCCCGCCGATCCGAAAACGAATTCACCCTTTTTCCCGCGATTATAATTTTCTTTGCACGAAAACAAAACGTACGGGTAGCTATTATTTTGAAAAAAAAAAAAAACGATTTGATCCAACGCATAAACAGATTCAAATCAAAATGTCGATTATTAGTATAGCGGACGGAGAGAAAACGGATATTGTTAAATTATTCCTGTTCTTTATACTTTAGATTTTCGAATGACATCTCTCTCTCTCCTTTTCAACAAAGTTTCGAAAAATAATCGTGTTCCAAACATTTTAATACAAGCGTAAGTCAGTCACGGATCCGGAGCAAAGATCTGGGGGAGGGGGACAACAATTTTTTTACAATAAATACAATTGAACTATCATGTAACACATTATGTATTTTATTTTCTCAGACGATTATCATAAAAAAATCGGAGGCGTAATAAGTCTGAGGGCCTGGGCCCCTGGGCCCCCTCTGGATCCGTTTCTGGCGTAAGTATCTATGTTATAATTTTAGATTCTCAGCGAAGCAACTTGACATTCATGAATTTATAAATTTTGAGTAACTGTTCAGCTTTGTATTATTAGTACTAAGTATTAAATTAACGATAAGCAATAAAATGTCTTAGGTTAGGTTAAGTAGTATATTTACTGATGCGGATGCTTACCGATTACCGTAGGTACCTACAGGAGCGGATTGGGAAGAGATTTCGGGCCAGGAAAGTACATAAGTACAGGTCCACATACTCCAATTTACCAAATATTGAAATTTAACCAACATTTACTTATTATTATTTGAACAGAACTATACTAATATGTTGTATGCATTTGGGAGATGCACAGTTAAAATGTTCAAAATTAAAATTAGCAATATTTTTTTGTTTTGTGAACAGTTTATGCGTTTACAATAATCTAAGTTTGTTTGTTTAGGTACCTATATAACACAATATAAGTGTGTAATCCAAATTATTAATGATACAGTTTTAGGTTTCTAAACTGAAGTTTAGACACCTTATATACCCGTTGTGTTCGTCCGTCTTTCTGCAGTTACCAGACACCAGTGCATAGTTACGGTAATTAATTTGGTTGACAAAGAGATCTATATTATTCGTAACATTATTATTATTATTTTTAATTTAAACATAATTTCGCTATGTTATTATCAGTATTTATTTAAATATAATTGTTAAATATTATCCGATATTAAAAATATATAAAGTAATATTATAAGCAATACTTAAAGAATTTAAAAATGTGTCACCAATTATTTTCAAATTCAAATTTTAAATTTATTAAGATTTCTATTTCTACACAAAATATAACATAGTAGATTACCGAATTCTTCCAAAACTGTATATAATATGGAACAATAATTTATTGTTTATTACAGGTTTAGGAACCGACAGCTTAGCCAGAATGGACTTTCTTACTTAGCTTGTTTACATTTAGAAAGCTTATTCAATAATAATGTCCTTGTTTAGAAATTAGTAAATTAATAATTTTATCATTATTTTTAAACTTTCCTATTTCCCCCATTTTTCAATTATTAAGAACAGTACACGGAAAAAAACTATCTTTCACACTAACTAGACTGAATGTTTTTTCAGAAAACCTATTACTCTTTAAATCCGGAGTCATATTGATAGTATAAAGTTGATGGTAATTGAAAATAATTTAAATAATTTCTTTTTAAACGAAATATTTTTTTTCAGTTTTTATTTCACGTCTTTTCCGAGATTTCGTCAATTATTATGAGAACTGGTTGGAAAATCAAAACACGATTTTTTCACTCACCAACAAGTAGGAATATGGGATAATAGGAATAGGAAGTTATTCCAAGTAGGAATAATTTTATTCAAAATTAAAATGCTTCTTCCGACAATATGTACCCGCCAATAATTATTGTTTGCATTATAAAGACGTGCCCAGGACGTGCAGGTATATCTTGTATGCTACTATCACAATCCATAGATTACCCTGATTAGATAAAACCAAAATACTAGATAGTGCATTTGCTTTATTATCTATGGATGGACTATGATTCCCTATTAAAATAATACAATAGCTGAAAATGTAAACAAACCAAAAGATATTTCAACTACATGCACAAAAGTACAAACAACATTTTCTGGAAAAAAAATTGAATATTTCAGCTGGTATAGGTATCGCCGATACCTATACCTATTTGACAAAATACTATTTTTTAAATAGTTATTTGAAGAAGTGAATCACTGGAATTACTTCAAAATTCCCGGCGGTTCGATTCGCCCCTGAATACGTAGGTAAATAGATAAATAGCAGTAAGCGTACCCTTGGTAACTGCCCATCTATATATATTATACTATATATTGTTTGATCAATTATTACAAGCCACGATTTTTATATGCGGTCGTCGAGTGTTTAGTATTATATTGTTGGATTTAAAAATGATTAAAAATCAAATTTTTCGCCGTTTATTTTGTATCGTTAATAGTGTAAATTTGTGATTTTAAACGCAATTCATGTGACTTTTGATTAATTACATATTATATAGGTAGATACCTAGGTAAGTGTCGGGTCAAAAATACCTATGTAATAGGTCTTAAAATTCACAAACAGTTATATTTATTTGCGCACGAATACGTTCACAATATTATAATACCTTTACAAGCAATTCAAATTTTGGTGTACCTATTGGTAAACCATATGTTTTTGATTACACTACATTAATTGTACTGCCTATACCGTCGAGTGATAATAATATTAGGTTATTGTGATCTGGACGTTTTCTTTCATTTGTGGTAAAATGTTAAAAATATTTGAGCCATTTTTAAGCTGTTTAAAGACATATTAATTTTGCGATTTTTTTACTTAATATTTATTCGGTAGGTACTCTGTGGACAAAATTGTTAAGCTAAACAGAAATACTTGAAAATTTAATAGGAGGTTCATTATAAGTCACAATAAGTGGTAAAAAAAAAAAAAATTGAACTAAATGTAGAATTTTTGTAGTTTAAAATCAAATTTTGACGACAATCGTAAATATTACGGCTTTTCAAAATATATCTTACCTAACTTTGCTCTGAATCGTTTTTCGTTAGCAATGGTTTATCGTTGGTTATAGGTATAATAAAGAAATGTATGTATTCTACTTTCCTAACTACCGTCCTACAACAGTGGCCGCACCCTCCCCCAGTATCAGCTCTTTTTTTGTTATAGATTTGTTTTTGTTTATTTATTGCATTTTTAAAACAAAAGTTTAAATTTATTATTATCTTTTAACATTATATAATATATATAATTAAGAATTATATTATTCATTCATTCATTTATTTTAAAATTAAGCATTATTGTAATTTTTGGGTAGTAGACAAGTTATGTGAATAATTCAGTGAAAAAGGATACTGTAATGATGACAATAAAATAATAATTACGAGTTTGCTTTTGTATTTCGTTAATAATTTAAAATGACGACATTCGTAATTCTGGTCTTTCGTTCCAATTTATTATAATGAAATAGTTTTTGTCACATTTTACTCGATTCTATTTATAATTACTAATTAAAATAAACATTAATTTTATAAAGGCAATACATTTGAAAACTGTGAAGTTATTATTAAAATTAATTAATTAATTATTTCAAATACTATGTCACCAATAATTTTTGTTTTTAACAGAACAATTCAGGTCTTCGGTACCTACTGGTACTAATTTTGTTCAAAATAATATAATAAATTTAATTATTTTAATTGTATATCGTTCGGATAATCATAAACCGCATTAAACTGTTTCAGATTAAATCTAATAATTAATTGTAACAAATTATTTGTTTTACTTATTGTCCCGAATAAAGATTATTTGTTACCGCCTATTACATCTATAGCAGATTTTCGATTTAGATAATCCAATTGAAATATTTATAGAGATCGTTCTCAAACACTTACGCCAAGAACAATCAATGGCGTCTAATGAACGTACAGGCTTTTACAATGAGAGACAGATCATACAGTTATTGGATACAGTTCCCAACGTTCCGAAATTGCCGAAAATACCAGATATCAGTAAATATTTGAATAGAAGCAAAACAATAAATAAAAGCAATGCCATCAGCGATCGTCGTACAATAATTAAAAACTATATGTAAGTTTTGGCTGTAGATAATTAGCATAGAAGTAGATAGTATTTTTTTCACTATTTTTATATACATAATTTATTTATAGGAATGAGTGCGCTGTAACACAGAAAATTGACTTGATGATGGCTAAGAAATCCATACCAGTGAGTCGCCAAGAAGAGCTTAAGATGCCTCAGATTAATTATCATAAGCAGCTAAGGGATTTTGCTAATGCCATAGAGCCCACTCCAATGCAAGAATCGTGGATAGAAAATATAATAGATGTACGGTTAATTTTCGAGTATACCTACTGGCAATTACTAGATTATTTTTGTAACATTATATTATTTTATTTCTTAACTAGAAATCAAAGATAGTGCGTTGGAAAAAAACCAAAATGGCCTTATCTCTAATAGAAGAAGTGAAAGACGAATATATTAAAGTGATAAAAAAGTTGCAAGTTGATGGTATTGTTAAGCCTATTCCAAGTTCTCATGGTATGTTACCGGAAAAGTCTCAAGAAAAACCACTGAAAACGGCGTAATAAATATAGTACATATATTTTACATTGACATTTCATTTTAATTCAAGCTTTATTTTTGTAGTTTGGGAGGAAAAACCAAACACTATCCATTATTTTTAAAAAGAAAAGCGCTATTGGCAAAACGTTTACATACAACTCATCCGACTACAATCAACATTCTATATTTTACAAAACGTCAAGTTCCAAAGACGATGATTAATGTAGAATCATATAAGTAATATGTTTTATACATTATTGAAGAATAATGTACAAAATTACTATAAAATATCGTGAGTTTGGTATTATTTTTAGATTTAATGAATTTTCTCGAGATCTTGACGACTTAATGGCCACTTTAGAACACGACTTTCGGAGACAAGATACGTATTTGACTAAGGATTGGTATAAAAAGGTTATATTGATTTTAACCAAGAAAGGCGCAATTGATAGCGTAACTTTAAATACACTTCCTCAGTTTCTTAAAGGTGTTACAACTATAATTAGTCTAGAAGTATGTTTTGATTAAATATTATATATTGTACAATCAACTTTAATTTGTGTAGGTACATAAAAAAAACATTATATAATATTTCCAAAGTCTATACCGAATAAAGTACAATAAGTACTTATATAGATATTATTTTAATGTAATATACTATTAATATATTCCAATTTACTATGGACAATATTAAATATCAACAAATATTTTTACAAGTACACGTTATAGGGACCATATATAAAATATATTACAGACTTAAGTATGGTAAATTATTATACCATTCGTAGCGTAGTCAGGATTTATAAAAGGAGGAGGGGTAGAGGCGTCTAGGAGGTTTAGGAAATCACATCATTGTTAACCTTACATATAGATAAAAAAAATTACAGAAAGGGGGGGTGGAATAAAACATTATAAAAACTCCCTTTGTTACACCACTAGGCAGCATCATAGAAATATTTCGGATAATATTAATATTAGGTTAATCATTTTTATAGTACTTACTTGATGACCGGATACAATTATAATCTTAATTGGATGAGTTGTTCTGTGATATAATTTATAATTCACTGTGTATTATACACAGTGTACAATTAATGTACAATATTGGTCAGTATTTCAGTATCTAATAATGTTTCATAGTTCACATGGTGACATGTTATTTTGTGTGATTTCAACGATCGGTGGTAACGTATAGGACTAAAAATTCAATTTTAAGTATATTATTACATCTTATTATTTATTACACGACAAACGTAAAGATAAATCGTTTAATATATTTTGTGCAATTCTAAGTGCCGTATAGTGGATGTACCAGTTGTTATTTATATTAATAAAATCCAATAGGTTATAATAACATATAATATTTTATTAATTCTATGGAAGTATTAATTTAGTCTTATCGGTTTTTGACATTATCCGATAGGCTAATGCAATATTACCCCCATGTGAACACTGAACATTACCCGTGACAGATATATTAGATATACGCTTTTTATAGATCGATAATACCTATAGTTGTGTTTTTTTTTCATTTACAGATGGAACGCATGATTTTAAAATCGATCGATCATATAGTAAAAGTATTTGGAAATATCACGACGATACCTAAATTAAATTTTACATTGCATTTTGTTGGTTCTAAATGTATCAGTACACCTAGTATTGATGATATATGTGATCAATATTGCTCGGTATTGAACTTAGTGAGTATTATACTGTTACTATAAAATCCTATTTTAGGACTTTCAAAGAGTAAAAATTATTTTTTATATGTGCTCATAAATCGATTATAAAAAAAGTGTCTTCATTTAAATTGTAACAAAAGAAATGCGTTTTGATACATTACGTATTTTATTCGATATTTTAAGTTTAGTAAATAAATCTGTGGTCAATTTTAATCACGTTTAATTTAGCTAAATACTGCAGCCAGTGAATTACCATCTCTAGAGTATCAATTTAAAATACCAGTGTCTTCCCAATTTATTTCAATTAAACGCAGCAAACAATATTTGGACGAAGCAAAACTCATTTTAGCCGAAAAGCTTAATTTTTTATATAAGGAATTAACGGATTATTTAATTAAATTGGGTAAGTCTATGAATAATGCAAAATAAATTCAATTTCTTTGAACTATATTAATTATTTACAGAAAATGATTTTTATGACGTTGTTTATGAAAAACAGTTTGGAAATCTTACTACATTTTTACAACAGTATCACACATACGATGAACTATTAGAAAAATTAGATTTTTTTCAGAGTTATAGGAATAAAGCTATTGAACTCGTAGATGGTTGGAATTTTGAGCTTGGAAAGTAAATATCTGGATTTATACTAAATTATTTATACCGAATTATCATTCCTTGTTATAGTATCGATCAAGTTGATATGAAGAATCATATATGTGATTTAGCTAAAAGCTATATGGATCAAATTATCGAACACATAGTTATTAAGCAACTAAGTAACGATGAAAGGTAAGAAATATATTTAAAAATAAAAAAAAATCAAACAACTTTATTTATTTGTATTATGTTTTGCTTTACATAAGGCCTTCACTTGCTTGGTAAGTTTATGAGTAGATTTCTATTTATTGCAAAACGTATAGTTTTAATAATTTCTTATACAGGGTATGTTATAAATTTAACGAAATGGTTTCACGTGCTATTTCAAAACCGAAGAATTCGGAAGAGTTCTTAGCTCTTGGTGATTACATGCTATATGCAAGTACTACGTTTATGACAGAGATGACTCAAACAGTTAAAGATTTAACTGTAGTTGCATGCAATATATCTCAGTACGCTGTGCTACCCAGAGAATTTTGGGAGGTGCATGCATCTGCTATTAAGTGGATACAAAATATATCGCCTGTTTTCGTTAAATATTCTATTATATATGAAGCAGGAAAATCTAATGCTGAAGAAACTCTGACAAAAGTTATCAGTAAATTGAATTACGACTTAGACGCTTTTGCTCCTAATCTTACTTTTTTGGATCACATCGATGATGTCAATAAATTATATGAATATAAACTAGTAATACCAATAAACATAATGACTTTTATTTTGGTCTGATTCACACGTATTAAAATTAATTATGCGCATTGATTTGTTTGTAGTTTGTTAATACTCTACAAAGAAAAATTGAGAAATTTGATGATACAGTTATTTGGATTAATAGAGAAGAAGAGTTATTTAACAAACCTATTAGCACATTTCCGGAGCTCGATGAAATCAAAGTAAATTAATAAATATTTTATAAAATTTTATAATAACACTTTGGAATTTTCGACAGTAAATACGTTTAATTTGAATACATTTCGTCGAAAGTTAAAAATGAATAAGTTATTTTTGTTTTAGACATATGTATTCATTTTATTAATAGATTCCCGAAATATATTTTGAGATATTGGAAGTCTCTTGTGCGTAGATTTGTAGATATATAAATTAAAATAATTATAAGTCAAACTTATAGGTTTTTACAAAGCCGTTTGTCGATCTTATTACATTTTCTTATCGTTGGTTTTTGAAGAAGAATATATGGTTATGCGGTGATTTTGATTCTCTTAGTTTACACGAAATAGAGACAACAGTTGATGAGTTTTATAAGTAAATACCTAATATTGTACACGTTTTATTAATAATGATATTAAATAATTTGTCTTTTGTTATTTAATTCCAGAGAAGCCACAAAAGTGCAATCATCACTAAAATTCAAATGTAAAGAAATGCTTTCACAAAACTATAGTAAAAGATATGAGGGTTTAATAGATGATGATGATATGAACCTTTGGCCTGCACCTTTAAAGATTGCTCATCAAACAATTAATAGCATGGACGAGTTTAGGGTTTGTTTACATATATGACTTATTATAAATTATATAATCTATTCAGTGTATCGTTAAAAATATGATTAGTACCTTACTATAACGAGTATAACGAACCCTATGTTATTATTATTATTTAATTATTTTTAATTTAATCTTTTGATTCTATTAAAATTACACTGACATATTGTAGTGTATTTAATAATACAAAAAAGATCAATGTATAAGCTCATATCATATGAGCATATATATATATATATATATATATATGAGTCATATGTATTTTTTAGCAATACATGTCAATTATCAGAATTATGTGTAATCCAGCTTTGGCTGAGAGACACTGGGAAGAAATGTCTGAACTGATGGGATTTGACTTGACTCCCAATGCTGGTACTACACTTTCAAAAATTATCGAGTTACACTTAGAACACTTACTACCTCAGTAAGTTGCATTAGTTTTGCTATTAAAAAAAATTATAAAACTAAATTTAAGCTCCGAATTGCACTGAGGATTTTTATTAGAATCTTTCTTCGATTTTAATTATAGTAACACATTTTTAATGTAGGTATCTAATATAATAATAATAAGCATGCGAATATTTTGTTTTTACTTTACCATAACACTTAGAACCTAATATTAATAAAAACATAACTTTTGATAGATCACTTGTGATGGATATTTAATTGTTGTATTATATTAAACCAGACATATCAAAATCAAAGTACCTTGGTATCAATTTCTGTATACATCAGTAACAGTAGAAAACGTATAAATAATTTCCGTTTATTTGAGAAATAAGGCACTATATTTTGTCACTGTAAAAACTGTATAGTTTTCCATTTACTGATTGAGTTTAAATATGTATAATTATCTGAACAATTATAGTTTATATGCACATATTTAAATGATAGTCATCTACTTCATGAAAATGGCAGTGCATCATTTGTAAAAATAAATTTATGTAGAAATGTAATAATGTTTTATGCGTATATATTTTAAGTATAAAAATAATACCTAATACGTTAATTTTCGTAAATCATAGAAATATATTTTTGTATCACAGCCGTTGAATAATGTATAATTATTTATGTACATTTATTAATTCATACTGTTCATAGTTACATGTTCTGATGTGCTCTGAAAAAAGTGTACAAACAATTTGTTTGATCCTTTGTAATCATGATCTAATTCGATATCTTGTTTAGAGTAAAATTGTGTAACTACTTTTCATTGAAAAAGTTCGATATTCATCTTCCTGTAGAACGTATCTGATATTTATATTCACTACATTTATTCTATCCCTATATAAAAAAAACTGAAGATAGTAAACAAAATTTTTAAAAACAATTTAGTTTGTTAATAATATTTATTTATATTTAAAATATTTACAGTGTATCTTTGTTATTTAAAGTAATTTTATTAATTATAATATACTTTTTATAGATTTGAGGTTATCAGCATTAGTGCTACTAAAGAAGAGGAATTACGAAAATCGTTACAAAAAATGAAAGAAGACTGGAAAACTATTCAATTATCTGTCAGCCCGTACAAGTATGATTCCTAACAATATTATATAAAATATATGAATAATTAATAGTAATAAAAGATATAAGTACCAAAAATTATATTTTTTTTTTCTAAGGGATTCAAACATTAATATATTGACCGGGTTAGACGACATACAAGCGTTACTTGATGATCATTTTATTAAGACTATATCGATTCGTGGTTCAGCGTTTGTCAAGCCTATAGAAAATGAAGTAAAAGAATGGTTCAATACATTGAATCGTATGAATATGACACTTGAAGAGTGGGAAAGAGTACAGATACAATGGCTTTATCTTATGCCAATATTTAGTTCTAAAGATATTGTTTTCCAAATGCCTAAAGAAGGAATACAGTTTAATGTAAGATTATTATATGTTCTATTCTGGTTAATATTTAAATTGATTTTTGTGTTTTTAGGAAATTGATAAAGTTTTTAGAAGATTATTAAGTATGGTAGATTCAGATTCATTAGCTCTTAAATGTGTAAGCCAAAAAGGTATTCTTGAATCACTCATTAAATGTACCGAAATGATGGAAACTATTAATTTGGGAGTGAATAATTATTTGGAAAATAAACGTCTATTATTTCCAAGGTAAAACTAAAGTGTACATACAGGGATATAAGATAAAATAATTTATTGTAAAATATTTAAATCCAAATCTAGATTCTTCTTTCTATCAAATAATGAAATGCTAGATATTTTATCAGAAAGTATAAATCCTAAAAGAGTTCAGCCTCACTTAAAAACATGTTTTGAAGGAATCGCTAAACTTGAATTTAATGAAAATTTGGATATTTTAAAGTTTTGTAGTAGTGAGGGTGAAACAATCGATCTAAATCAAAATATTTCAACTATAGAAGCAAGAGGAAGTGTAGAAAATTGGTTAATCAAGGTTCTTTTAAAATCAGCAAGATAATATTATAACTCATAATAATAATGTAGGTATATCTCTATAATAGGTAGAAGAACAAATGGTGATTTCAATTAGAAAATTAATCGAAAATGCTTATTGTGAATATCCAACTGAAGAAAGAAAAACGTGGGTACAGAAATGGCCCGGTCAATGTGTTTTATGTGTCAGCCAAATGTTTTGGACCGCTGAAGTTCATAATGTATTTATGACAAAAAAGCCTCAAGGAATGCGAAATTATCATCATTTTTTGACTGTATTTCTTTACTTATATTTATATGTGGGCATAATTAAATTTTTTATTTTTTTTTTAGAATCAATTAAATAATATCGTAGATATAATTCGTGGTAAATTGAACAGGCAAACAAGAATATCTCTAAGTGCATTGGTTACGTTAGATGTTCACTGTCGAGATGTTGTTAACGATTTGGCAAATAACAACATCTCTAATGAAATGGATTTTAAATGGCTGTGCCAGTTAAGGTGGTAGTAAATTAATAAATATTTATTTTATTTTTAGTTATTATTATTATTTGTATATTTATTAAGATATTACTGGAAAGATAATGCCTTCGTGCATATTACGAAGGTTACTATAAAATATTCATACGAATACCTGGGAAATACGCCTAGACTTGTTATCACTCCTTTAACGGATAGGTGTTATCGCACTCTAATTAATGCATATTATTTACATTTGAATGGTGCACCCGAGGGACCAGCTAGTACCGGAAAAACAGAAACAATAAAAGATTTAGCAAAAGCTTTAGCTACACGGTGTATTGTATTTAATTGCTCTGATAGTCTTGACTACTTGGCGATGGGAAAGGTAAGCGTAATAATGAGTTTTAATACCTTTCTAATTATTATACAACTGGATTAATAGTTTTTTAAAGGGTTGGCTTCATCTGGAGCTTGGGCTTGTTTTGACGAATTCAACCGTATAAGCATTGAAGTATTGTCAGTGGTTGCACAACAGATTTTAAGTATTGTACAAGCAGTAAGAACTAATGTGGATCATTTTGTATTAGAAGGTACAGAACTCCGATTGAACCCCAGATGTTTTATTTGTATTACTATGAATCCAGGATACGCTGGAAGATATGAACTTCCTGACAACTTAAAGGTTTATATATTTATAAAGTGTACTTAAAAATTATTAATAAAATACGAGTGTCACACTTTATTATGATTCATAGGTTTTATTTAGAACTGTTGCTATGATGGTGCCTGATTGTACTATAATAGGAGAAGTATCATTATATTCCTATGGATTTTTAAATGCGAGAGAATTATCTGTTAAAATTGTTACTGTTTATAAACTGTGCTCAGAACAATTATCATCACAACCACATTATGATTATGGTTGAATAATAAAAAACATTTGATTAATTATAATTTATATGGATAATATAATTTTTTTTTATTAGGAATGCGAGCTATAAAAACTGTTCTAATAGCAGCTGGGAATTTAAAAAAAGAGTTTCCAGAAGATGATGAATCACAAATATTACGTCGATCTATTTTGAACGTTAATTCAGCTAAATTGTTAAACAAAGACATTCCTTTATTTAATGGTATAATTTCTGATCTATTTCCTGATGTTGAATTATCGAATCCAGATCATACAAATTTTATTTGTGCTGCGAAGATTGTACGTTTATATTGAAATTGAAAGTTATGGAAATATTTAATTCCTTTATTTGTTTTAGATGTGTACAGAAATGTGTTTACAACCAATTGATGCATTTATTGAAAAATGTATTCAAACTTACGAAATGATGGTAGTTAGACATGGGTTTATGTTGGTCGGAAATCCATGTGGGGGAAAAACTTCATTACTTCATTTACTTGCAAAAACTTTGAACCTACTAAATAAACTCGACCATAGAGAAGAAATGGTTGAATATGAAACAATTAATCCCAAAGCGTTAACGTTAGGTCAACTTTATGGTTGTTTTGATGAGGTAACACATGAATGGTCTAACGGAGTTGTAGCTAACATATTCAGGTACAATATTATATTATTAAAAATAACAGTGTTTCTACAGATTGTATTTATTTGTATGTTGACACAAATGAGACTTTGGTCCAGTTTAATCCCCTCAGATCTAATCCCTATCAAATAAGTTCCAAATATATATAGGTATAGTCAATTTATTGGAGCTTAATTTTTGAGCTTTTTGCGCCTATACTTATACACATATTATTATGTTATCTATATGTTTAAATATACGATTTGCATTTGTTATGTAGGCAATTTGCAATATCAGAGACTTCAAATAGAAAATGGTTAATATTTGATGGTCCTATTGATGCAGTTTGGATAGAAAATATGAATACAGTATTGGATGATAGTAAAAAGTTGTGTTCAAGTTCTGGTGAAGTTATTGACATGCCGGATTATATATCTATGATATTTGAGACAATGGATCTTACTCAGGTATGTTCTTTATTTACTTGTAGCATAATAATTGTAAAAATAAATTGTACTAACTTAGGCGTCACCGGCAACTGTGTCTCGCTGTGGTATAATTTATTTGGATCCTTTAAATTTGGGTTGGAGGCCATTAATTGAAACTTGGATTAAAACTTGTCCGGAATCTTGGTCTTTAGATCAACATGGTATTGATATAATGTATTTATTTGATTGGATAGCTCCTCCTTGTCTGCATTTCGTTCATCAAAATTGTGTTGAACTGATTAATGCTGGGGAAGCAAATACTGTTTTGTAAGTAATTTGTCTCTGATTATTTTAGTTATTTATTTTAATTTTGATTGGTTTGAATTATTTTACAGAAACGTTTTAAATATACTAAAAATGCAATTAAAAAATGCGAGTGTTGATAATCCGACTTTTAATGAACACTTTACAAATTATTTGCAAGGATCTTTTGTGTATGCTTGTATTTGGGGTTTTGGGGGAACGATTGATTCTAGTTCACGATCAGCATTCGATCTTTATTTCAAAGAATTGTGGAAAGGAAAGATTCCTAGTGTGGAACCACCAGAAACTTTAAGTCCATTGGACATTCCCATACCCAACGATGGAGTATTATATGACTATTTTTATAGTTGCACGGGTAGAGGATCTTGGAAAAATTTATCGGAAGTTGTGAAAAATAATACAATTGAAGAAATTACTAATATTGAAAACATTTTTGTGCCTACACTTGATACGGCTAGGTAACTTAAAAATAAGTAATTAATATAAATATTAAGAATTAATTTAAAATTTGTTCATAAAATTATAGGTACATGCATTTAGTTGACATGTTTATTTCTCATCGCAAACCATTATTATTTTTTGGTCCTACGGGTACAGGGAAAACTCTTTACATAAGAAATTATATAATGAATAAATTGTCTTTAGATAAATACGTTCCATCTGTTGTTACATTTACGACTCAGACCTCAGCTAATTTTACCCAAGAAATTATATTGTCTAAACTCATAAAGCGTAAACGCGGTGTATATGGTCCACCCTTGGGTAAAGTTTGTGTGATTTTTATTGATGATATGAATATGCCTGTTAAAGAAAAATATGGAGCACAACCTCCTATTGAGTTATTGAGGCAGTTTATTGACCATAATCACTGGTATGACACAAAAAATACAACAAAAGTTTATCTTAAAGATATTCTTTTATTGTCAGCAATTGGTCCAACTGGTGGAAATCGACATGATGTGTGTGCAAGATTTTTGCGACATTTTGGCTTGTTTGCTCTAAATTCATTTGATGACGAAAGTATAACAAAGATTTTTTCAAATTTACTTCAAATTGGATTAAAAGTATGTTAAATAAAAGTCACTTCAAATTAGAATTTGTATTATTTAAAATCAATTTTCAGAGAAATGGTTTTACGCTAGAGGTGGTTCCAATTATCGACAACATTATCCAATCAACAATTGACTTATATAGATCAGTTATTAATAATCTGGCCCCCACTCCTGCAAAATCACATTATTTATTCAATTTAAGAGACATTTCAAAAGTGACAAATGGAATACTTCTGTTTCGTAAAGATAGTTATAGTAACCGAAAAGTATTTGTGAGGTATATTTTATTAAAAATGCAAAAGTATTTGAAAAATAATAGTGCTACAAAAATAATGTATTATGTGCATTATAGATTGTGGGTACACGAAATTATGAGAGTATTTTGTGATCGTCTTATCGATGAAAATGATAAAGAATGGTTGTTTAATAAAATTCGTTCAAATGTTAATATATATTTTCAAGAAACTTTTGATATAGTATTTAATAACTTATCAGATTCGACTGTATGTAATTTTAAAAATATATTTTTTTATCTACTCATAATTCATAAATGAATTAAAACTGTAGTTCATCGATTGATTTTTAGCCTATTCTTTGTCAAAATATGGGAAATCTCTTGTATACTAATGTTATAGCATTTGATGATTCAAATGAAAAAAAATACGAAGAACCACCTTCAATATCAAATTTAGAAGAAAAAGCTCAAATAATAATAGATGAATACAATATGAAACACAAATCGAAACTAAATATCGTTTTGTTTAAGTAAAATTTTTACAGTATTTATTTTTTTTTTTAATACAACTTTATTTTTAAATGTAAATAGATATGCTCTTGAACATTTATCGAGGATTTGTAGAATTTTAACGATACCCGGTGGATCTGCATTATTAATTGGAGTTGGAGGTTCAGGTCGACAATCCCTAACACGCTTAGCAGCGGCTATGTATAACTATAATGTCTTTCAACCTAAGATTATTAAAGGTTATGGATTAAACGAGTGGAGAAATGATTTAAAAATGATACTAATAGAATCCGGAGGAAAAAATCGTCAAACTGTGTTTTTGTTTAGTGAAAGACAAATAAAAGAAGAATATTTTTTACAAGACATTGATATTTTATTGAATTCTGGTGAAATACCAAATTTATTTAATTTAGATGAACAACAAAATATATTAGAGGTATAAATTATTAATTTTATTTAATTATGAATTAAGTCCGTTAGGACAGTTATATGAAAGGTTCAAATTTTGAATACTTAATACGTTATATATGTGTTATAGATGGTAAGATTTGCTGCTCAAGGTGGAAATAGAAATTTAGATATTGCTCCATTGATTGTTTTCAATTATTTTATAAACCGCTGTAAACAAAATTTGCACATTTGTTTATGCTTTAGTCCAATCGGTTCAACATTTAAAAACTTATTGCGACTTTATCCGTCCATGGTCAATTGCTGTACAGTTGATTGGTTTAGGGATTGGCCAGATGATGCCTTAGAAATGATTGCTCATAAGTACTTGAACGACGTTAATCTTTCTGAGAAAATTAAAAGTTCTGCTGTTACTGTTTGTAAACAGTTTCATTTTGATGCTAAGTAAGTATTATTAAATATCTATATAGTAAACAAGCAATCCAAATAATTAAATATATTCGATTACAGAAAATTATCTTTGGAATTCTATTCTACCACGCGGCGTCATACATACATTACATCTGCATCATATTTAGATTTAATCCAAGCATATACGAAATGTACAAATCGTAAACAAAAAGACATTATGGAAGCAAAAATGCGCTATATCGGTGGCCTTCAGGAATTAGATTATGCTACTTTACAAGTTAGTCAGATGAAAGAAGATTTATTTAAACTTCAACCACAGCTACAGCAAGCTCAAAAAGATACTGAAGAAATGATGACAATGATTTCTCGCGAGACGGTTGAAGTAGGAAAAGCTACTGCTAGAGTACAAGAAGATGAAAAAGTTGCAAATGTTCAAGCTGAAGCAGCAAATGAATTGAAAACAGAATGTGAAGCTGATTTGGCTTTAGCTATACCCGTTTTAGAAGGTGAGAATATATTATTTGGAAAATATAGTTTAAAAGTTTGAATAAAACAATGAACTAAACGTTTATTTAAGTTCCTTTCCTTCATTGGAAATTAAAATATTAGGTACCACGTATCTATATAATAACTTGTACAAACCAAATAAGTATTCGCTTTTAAGAAATATTTATTATTATGGTATTTTATTTTACTATTTTGTTTTACAGTTAGGTTAAATTGATTATTTTACACTGACTTGTTTATCAATACTAATTAATTCCACGGGCAATAAAAAAAATAAATAGAATTTAATTAGGAATTAATGTTTATTTTAAGATGCAATCGATGCTTTAAATACTCTAAAACCAACTGATATAACATTAGTTAAGTCTATGAAAAATCCTCCTGAAATGGTAAAAACTGTAATGGCAGCAGTATGTGTGATGAAAGGAGTATCACCAGATAAAATTCCCGATCCTAATAAACCGGGACAAAAGGTAACGGTTAACATTTATTTATAAATACATGTATACATGATAAAAAATAATGTTTGTATTTACTAGATACTTGATTTTTGGGGCCCGAGTAAACGTATATTAGGTGATATAAATTTTTTGCAAAGATTAAAAGAGTATGACAAGGATAATATACCTTCTCAGATTATGACTATAATACGAAAAACATATCTCCCGGATACGAATTTTAAGCCTCCAATTGTAGCTAAAGCTTCTAGTGCTGCAGAAGGTTTGTGCAAGTGGATAATTGCATTGGATATGTATGATAAAGTGATTAAAGTTGTGGCGCCGAAAAAAGAAAAACTAGAAATAGCTAATTCTGAATATGAAGCGACTATGGCTGTGTTGGAAGAAAAACGAAATGAAGTAAGACAATTACAGGAGAGATTAGATTCTCTAAAAGATAGATTGGAAGAGACGGTGTTAAATAAAGAAAAATTACTGGCAGAAGTAGCGTTATGTCAAAGCAAGTTAATTAAAGCTGAAAAACTCATAGGTTTGGATAAAATATTCTAACACGTACTTATATCTATTTATATAATTCTAAATATAAAATTTAAATTTATTTAGGAAGCCTTGGCGGTGAGAAAAATCGTTGGGTTCAATGTGCCGAAGAGCTTCAAATTAAATATGATTGTATACCTGGGGATATTCTTATATCTTGTGGAATAATTGCATATTTGGCTCCGTTTACATCTCACTTCAGGTATTTAAATCAATAATAATGCATTAGCTTTTTAATTGTTTGCACTCATTTTTTAGATCTTTAATAATTGATAAATGGAAGTTATTGTGTAGTGATTTAAATATTCCAAGCTCGAATAGTTATAGTTTGATTGATGTTTTGGGCGTGCCGGTAAAAATTCAAAATTGGATCATTAACGGTTTACCAATGGACTCGTTTTCAATCGATAATGCTATAATAATGGATGGGTCTCAAAGATGGTCTTTACTTATTGATCCTCAAGGTCAAGCGCACGAGTGGATTAAAACGATGGAAAAATCAAATGATATAATAATTGTTAAGTTAACAAACTCAAATTATATGAAAAGTATTGAGGCTGGTATAGAATTAGGAAAACCGGTATTAATTGAAAACGTATCAGAAGACTTACATACACCTTTAGATCCGGTTTTACTGAAGCAAACTTATAATGAAGGTGACTAAACATTTTGTTAAGATTTAATGTTTGAAAACAAAAAACCAATCAAAAATGTTTATAGTAATTTTATCTATAAAAATTGTTGAATAATTGTGGACCTAAAAAATAAAGTAATAATCGTTTTATTTATTATAAAATAAATACAAATATTTTAGATATTATAGTTTCAAACATTTTAGTCTTACCGATTTTTAATTACATGTGAGTGCCTTGTAATCATTATGTTCATATTGTGTTTGTTTATTTTATATTTTAGGAAATACAGTGTTTATAACACTCGGAAATAAAGTTATTGAATATAATTCAAAATTTCGACTATACATTACATCTAAATTTAGAAATCCACATTATTTACCCGAAATATTTAATAAAGTTACTATAATAAATTTTGCATTAACAGTGGAAGGCTTGGAAGAGCAATTGTTGGGAATTGTTGTGGCTAAAGAACGGTGAATATTCTTATTGTTAATATAATATTTTACTTTCCTTAAACCACATTTTTTCTCTCAATATCAGACCTGATTTGGAATCAAAAAGACAACAGTTGATACTTGAAGGAACTGAGAACGCTAAAGCATTGTTAGACGTTGAAAATAATATTCTTCAAATACTTTCGGCACCAGGAAACATATTAGAAGATGAAAATGCAGTTGACGTTTTAGACAATTCTAAGGTTAAAATAATATAAGAGTTAAAATTGCTATAGGTTTGAATTCTACAAATATTTTCAAAAATTACCTTAATTTTTAAGAAAAACAAAAATCTATTCCTTAGTCAATTAATAATACCTATTAACTTGAAAGTATTTATTTGACAACTAATATTATTAAATAATTCAAATTAACAGATCATATATAAAAAAAAAATACATAAAAACCACCCGTTGAGCAGTAGAACTCTGTTTCTAGTGTCGAAATGTGTATTTTTAAACACTTATTATCGATATGATCGATGACTTTATGAATTGTGATTATTATTTACTAGATATTAGCTAAGGAAATCACGCAGAAACAATCCGCTTCTGTTGAAACAATCGCAGTCATCGACGAGTTCAGGTTACAGTACAAGCCAATTGCTAAACACTGTTCTATACTTTATTACTGCATTACCGATTTGCCCAATCTCGATCCAATGTACCAGTATTCATTGACTTGGTTTATCGATATATTTATCGTGGCAATCGAAACAGCGTGAGTAATAATTTTTTTATTTTCATTTAAAATAATATTTATTTATAAGATTTCTTGTAGAATTTTTGTACATAGGATAAAAAAATAAACACCTTTGTAAAATCAATACATTCTTCGCTACACTTATAATCTAAATTTAGTTTTCGGTGTAGTTTACTTAAACAGTTCAATGCACATAGTCTCCACGAATTGGCTGTATTAAATACCTATAATAAAACAAATTCATTTATATTATACCAACAAATTAACAAAAATTAAATTTTATAAAAACGTAATTTATTCGACATACTTTATTATTAGCATATGATTCAAGTATTTTGGTACCAAACGGTATAATGTAAAATAACTGCTCTTCTCCGTCGTGATACGCTTTGACCAATAATATTTTTAGGTCTCCAAACATCATACAAATTTGTTTATCTTTGGCTAACGCCACCATTCTTAACCAATGGCCCAAATAACTTAGCCATGACTTACTAGATAACTTTGCATTTGGTTTATCACGTTTCAATAAAACCTAACGAGATACAAAAAATATTATTTTAAAATACATCATATTCGCCATTGTACAAAATATAAATAAAATAAAATATTTATACTCACTTTAATATATTTTATGATTTCTAATAGTATTAATGCATTTTCATTTAACGAGTCTAAAAATATTAAGTATAACGTATGATCATTTAATTCAACGTAAATCCGGTCCATGACAATATGATTTGTTAACCATGATAAACATTTAATATCAGTATCAACGATAATGTCTCTATTTTGTTACTCTATATATGGTATACAATTTAAAAAAAACAATAATTAACAACATTAATCAACATAATATTAATAAATCAGCTACAGCATATTTGACTGAAATGTTTTCTACAATTTTTAAATTGTGTAAGTAAATAATATAATATTAACCTTAGTTTGAAGATTTCGATTAACATGTTAAAGATGATATTTGTTTTATCTTTGCATTGTTTTACAGATCCATAAATTTTAATAGCATCGTTTTTTTTAGCATTCCAGCCGTTGACAACTAATAAAAATAAAGTTTGGGATACAAGGGTATTTCTTTTATTCATAAATTATATACCAGATATTTTCATAGTGACATAATTGTGATAAAATATTATGATGTTATATATATATATATATTTTTTTTAAAATAAATATTAGATTCTGAGTGGAGCAACGAAGCTTATGGCTTTACAAAGATTTTTATTATTATTTTTTTTTCAAAAGATCTTCCTTCGATTTTTATGTGTAGCACCTTTTTTGAAAGGAAATCGGTGTGGGGAAGTTCCTTTAAAGAGGTTATTTTTCGATTTTCTCAAAAGTTTTCCCATTAAATGTGAAAAACCGAGAAAACTTGGGGAAATCGGTACTACATTAAATAAACATTATTAAAGAAAACATATAGAGCCTATTTAATTATTTTATTATAATATGGCATACACATTGTTAACAAAGTACCACTATTAACTAAACTCCGCAAAGAATTGTTTTCTTGAAGCAATGGTTTATCGTTGCTTACGGGTATACATTAAATTACCTATAACAGTGACTGCACCCGTCTTTATTATCTTAGGACGTTTTATTTTAATTCAAAGTCCACAAAAACGGCCGTATCCTTAAATAGTAATCAGAGATAGCGGATTATTAGAAAAATCTTAGTATTAAATGTTAAAAAATGATTAACTTTATAATATACACGATTCAAATAATCTTATGTTCTAAATTTCTAATTTTGAACATTTAGTTTTATAATTATTATAAAAACTTTGTGAGTTAATAAGAGCTTTTGTTACAGCCGGTGGTACAACGCATAGCGTATTTAACTTAACTTGTCGGTCAAACTCGGACCGACCGTAGCATTTGGAAATTAATTTCCATGCATTGTGGTCATTTTCGGATGTGTGAATAACAGGGCGCGTTTCCGGCTCCGTGTAACATTATATAAATGCATTTATACAAATCGTTTTAAAGACCCAGAATAAAAATTTAGGGAATTAATTATGTACGGCTCTTTTAATTAAAAAAATAAAACGAAATAACAAAAAAATAAATGACTTTATAATTAACGATTTTTCATAGTATAATGTACACAATTGCATGCATTTTATCAACATGATACAGATTCATTCCAGATTTTCCGTGATATACAACAAAATGACCATAGTATAAAACACGGCGACAACAGAATGGTTTTTGAAATCTAACAATAGTACGGCGTTATTATTATAGTACGAGTATAAGAACAAAATATAATATTGACATAATATTAATAAATCTATATAAGTTGTTAATGGACGAAAAGAAATATATAAATCGATTTATATAATTCAAACAATTTAAATTAAATTTGAATTGTCAGAATGACAGCGAAAAAAACAACATTTAAGACTAAACGTTAATGGCAGAGTGACAGAATTGCAGTAAACAAGAGTACAAGAGCTAAAAAAAACTGTTGCTAAGTGAAAAAACAAACTGGGACGTAACATATGATTGACGTAGTGTGTATTTTCCAAGAGTACATTATTATTACTGCTTATATTATGTTATATTGTAATGTAATAAAATAATAATATTTGCTTTGTGAACCCAGGTTCGTATTAAGAGGGCAAGGGAAGGAAACAATTGCGGTTGATTTTGAGGTGGCAGCTAATTTTTTTTAACATTTGTGTATTTTACTGTAATTATTTTTTTCTTTTTTCTCTATGTATAATAATTATACTCATAGGGATTTGTATGAAGTTTTGCCTGTTTATTTTTTGGTACTATGTAGTTATATAGTAAATTTTCCCATTTTTCCTATGTATTTTTCTATTTATTATGAAAACTCCCGGGAAAATCAAAAAAAACTTCCTTAAAGTACTACCCCACTAAAATGTCCTTTCTGAAAAAGTGTAACACATAAAAATCGGAGTAATATTTCTGGTAGAAAAGTTGCGCAAAGATAAAGAAAAGAAAAGTAATAAAGATCTTTGTAAAACTATAAGCTTCGTCGCCCCACTCAGAATCTAAAATATAAACATTACTGTAAAACCAATACATTCCGCGCTCCGCTCCGAATTTAAAATCATAAGATTCAATTTACTTATGAATGAGTTACTTATATCAAAATATATTTGTAACTTTTTAAATTTTATTAAAGAAACGTAAATTATGATAATTCTATATAAGTGTCATATTTAAAAACAGTTGTTAGTGACCATTCACAGATACAGTTCAAGGCATACATAAATTACACATAATATATCTATCCATTTAATAAATATGATTATAAATTCATATGGCTAAAGTTGAATTGCAAAATTGTATATTGTTGGTTTAGAAACAAATCGAAAACGATTTCTATACGTCTTGAGGCTCTGAAAAAAACATTTACATATAATTTGTACACTAACGTATGCCGATCGTTATTTGAAAAGGATAAAATTTTATTTTCTTTCATTATATGTACTACATTAATGCTGTGAGTAAACGATAAAATAATATTTGTATTTATAGTTAATGATTTTTGAACCGTTCTTAATTATAGCGCGGACAATAAAATCAACAAGGAAGAATTAATGTTTCTTAGAACGGACGGCGTTGACGTGAAAAATACTTTTCCTAATCCTGGGCCCGATTGGCTTCTCGATAAAAGTTGGAATGAGATATGCCGTTTAGATCAATTAAATGCGTACAATGGTAGTTATAGATTTGAAATCTCATTAATAAATTACTTACTGTTAATGCTAATATTATTCGTTTCAGGAATAAAAGATGATTTAATAAAAAATGTTGAATATTGGAAAAATTATTATTACTTAACTGATGGTGAAAACCATAAATTTCCTAATCCTTGGCACGATAAATTAAGTAATTTTCAACGCATTCTCGTTGTACGTACTATTAGGCCCGATAAAGTCATACCTGTTATCGCTAAATTTATTGAAGCAGAACTGGGAGAACAATTTATCTATAATCTACCGTTTGAAATACAAAAATCTTATGGTGATTCAACTTGTTTGAGTCCACTTATATTCATTCTCTCACCAGGAGTAGATCCTATGGTGAGCTTGTTACAGTTTGCACACAAACTGGGTAAAACGGAGACTTTACGAAATGTTTCATTGGGTCAAGGACAAGTTAATAACACAATATTATATAAATTAGATAATATTTGATATACTTAGCATAAAAACGATGATATTTTGTTCAAGGGTCCCATAGCCGAATTATTGATACGAGACGCGCAAAAAACAGGAGGTTGGGTATGTTTGCAAAATTGTCATTTAGCTATTACATGGATGGAGCAATTAGAAGCGATCTGTGATGGGTTTGACGATTTTAACGTTAATAGCGAATTTAGATTGTGGCTGACCAGTTATTCTTCGGATAAAGTATTACTACGACAAATTGCTTATTTTTGGGAATATTTTTTAATTTGAATAATTGATCTTAGTTCCCAGTTTCCGTGCTCCAAAATGGCGTCAAAATGACTAATGAGCTACCGACAGGTTTGCAAGCCAATATGCTCAGAAACTATCAGTCATACCCGGTCAAAGATCAAAACTTTTTTGAAGGTTGTCCGGGTAAAGAACATATATTTACAAAACAATTATACGGACTTACGTTTTTCCATGCTGTTGTACAAGAACGTAGAAGATTTGGGCCTATCGGATGGAATATCCCTTACGGATTTAATGAATCCGATTATCATATCTCCATACAAGAACTCCAAGTGCATAATATACATAGAAATTCAATTTCGAACACATTATTAATTAAATTATTTTTAGTTTTATATTAACGAATTTAATGAGATACCGTTCGAGGCGGTTAAATATTTAACCGGAGAATGCAACTATGGCGGTAGAATAACTGACGATTGGGACAGACGTACGTTGAATACAATTTTGAATATATTCTGCTGTCCGCAAATAGTTGAAAATCCTTATTATTTATTCTGTGATTTAAGCGAAAAATATGGTATCCCTTACCGTAGCAACTATCAAGATTTTATAAAAAAAATTGAAGTACTTATAAAATCTTATAAAAACTTATAAAAACTCATATTTTTTTTCCAACGAATCTAAATTAAAATAACTACATTCATCTTTTTCCAACAGGAAATTCCGGTTGCATCCAACCCAGAAGTGTTTGGATTGCACATGAATTCAGGAATTACTCGTGATTTACAGGCGACGTCACAATTTTTTAATTCGTTTACATCAGTAGTAGAGTCGTGCAGTAACAATACAGACTATATCGATACGATGGATAATTTGTTGATGGTAATTGCGTCTGATATACTCGCGAAGCTTCCAGACGATTTCGACATAGAAACGGCAATGACAAAATACCCTGTTATGTACGCCGATTCTATGAACACGGTTCTTATTCAAGAAATGGACCGTTTTAACGTACTATTGTCCGTGATTCGTAAAAGCTTACATGACTTGATAAAATCCATCAAAGGCGCTATTGTTATGACGCCTGAACTAGAAACCATGGCATTATCGTTATCTGCGGCAAAATATCCAGTATTTTGGTCAAAATTTTCTTATCCGAGTCTTAAGTCCTTAAGCGGATACATATCTAATTTTATCGAGCGACTTAATTTCTTACAAGTAAGTCCCGCCATACGGGTAGATACATAATATTACTATGGCATTACAACTTTCGTAAAAAATGATAACACAGTATTATTTATCAAATATTAGTTGGCTATACATTTGAATTTGCCCAATATTCTCTAAACATTTTATATATTTTTTATCATCCAAATATTTAAATAGGTACTTACTACCAACTAATAATAATGTTTATATTAGACAAATATTCTACTCAAATTTAATTTTTGATTTAAATATAAGTACATTAAAATAAAAAATAGAACTTTTAACAATGTTATCAGACCTTGAATTCATGGGCATATTATTGAACTTTAATACATACATTATATTATGTATATATTTTTAAAATATTAATGTTTTAATAATTTAAGATTAATTAAATTGTATAATAAGTTTTAAACTAAAACAAATAATAATAAATTTACAGCCAAATGTAATGTAAATGTAAATCAGGTAGTATAATTATTTATAAATTAAACAGTTGATTTAGATTATACTTACTCCTTAATTAGTATTTACTCTTTATAAATTACTTTGAATATTAAGTGTAATGCGGTGGATAATATACAAATATTTAAAACGTTTATATTTTTTTTTATAATGATCATTTTATAATATTTAGTTCTTACGTAATATTATTTTAAATTTTAGACAAATAATTGAACATAGTATAATAATATTGTTGTGTAAATAAGCTATAAAGTATTTAGGTAATAGATAAGTATTTATGACTGTGTTGTTGATAAGGTCTACACCTTATCAGAATTATTTATTAGAATTATTTACAAGTAGTAAAATACAATTTTATTTAAATTTTAGTCCAGTTAAAAATATAAAAATAAATAAATGCTTACAATTATATTATAATTTATTATCTATACAGTTGTTTGTTACAAATATTATATTTCAAATTCAAATCATAGATACCTATATTTACGAAACAAAACGGATAGTACGGGTATTCTGGTTCGAATAATTCCGAGTTAACGATCCTTGTTTCGGTATTCCAGTGCCGTAATAAACATAATATAGACAACGGAAGGAGCGACAAAAGACAAACGCTTAGACATTTACGAAACATTAAGTTAATCCGACGGCTAAACGACGTTGTTATCTAAAATGAATACACGACACGTAAATTATGACTGACAAATACCTATCCGAGTAAAATATTTTTAGATTAAAGTTGTTCGTTCAGAGCGCACGACGGAAGTTTAATACATCTACTCTTTTATGGTTTTTGTTTAAAATTTAATTTACCGGTAATTTTCATTATTACCTACTTATATTATTCCTTTTGTTTTGTACTCGAAACAAACAACGAGCGTTTTTCATGTTGCAGGACGTAGGTAAATTCGGCGATAAGTTTCAAAAACAATAAATTATTATTTACGCGTATTGTGCATATAGTGTATAGTTTATACTTAATACTTGTATATTTATAATTAATGCCTGTGTATTCTATTATGCTGTATTAAGTGTAAACTGTTACCGAATTACGTTATATCATATCCATATTTTTTTCTTATTTCTTCAATCTGAATGCGTTTGATTTTGTTTTAGGTTTGGTACGATAAAGGTAAACCAAACAATTTCTGGCTTAGCGGATTTTTTTTCCCTCAAGCATTTCTTACCGGAGCTATGCAAAATTTTTCTCGCCGTCATACTATACCCATCGATCAATTGTGCTACGATTTTAAAGTGCAATACACCGACAGAATCGATGCGTCTCCCGAGGACGGAGTATACTGTTACGGTCTGTTTTTAGACGGGGCTCGTTGGGATAGGTCCGCGTATGTTTTTTTTGATATTTATTTTTTTTTAAATATTTAATACGCTTTATGCACGATGATTTATTAATAAAATTATTAAAAACGATTGATGTTGGCATTTTAGATCCGTTGTATTGGTGTTTAATCATCTAGGTCGATATTCAATATAATATTTTTTAATATTTAAACGTGTATTTTTTAGATTTATTTATTATTATATTTAATAACTACAATAATACATTGTTTTTTTTTTGTATTACAGGATGGTACTGGCGGAACAATTTCCAAAAGTATTGACAGACGTGTTACCGTTAGTATGGTTTATACCTATACGGAAAAATGAGTTGATAAAGGGAAATAGGTATACGTGCCCCGTGTATAAGACTTCGGAAAGAAGAGGAATATTGTCTACGGCGGGCCATTCTACCAATTACGTTTTACCGATGTTTCTCGATAACAATAAAAATCCCTGTCATTGGATATACCGCGGAGTAGCCTTACTTTGTCAATTGAACGACTAAAATATGTATATATATTTTATTTTATTCATTATAATTTTAGCACTAGCAAAACAAAAAAAAAAACAAACGGTTTTTATCATCGGCATTTATAAACATATAATTTTGTGTAAATATAGTTATTTAGGTAACATAATAATTGATCGAACGTTTTCTATGTGCCCATATTGTTTTCTTGTTGTTTCTGATTTTCTATATTTTCAATAGTGTCTCTTCCCCACGGTACTATAATGTATACTAATTTTTCTTGATCTCCGAGTTTTGGTGTAATGACTCCAGCTAAACTCTCTTTAGTTATTGGCTGGTTATCGATTTCGGGTTTGAGTAATTTTATTAACTTTTTTATTAAAAAGCCTACTTGGTCTTTATTTAATTTTTCTTTATGTGGATTTTGGATATTCAAGTGATTATACCAAAGTTCTGAATCTCTGTTAGTTTCTGTTGGTTCAGTAATATCGCTGTCTGGGCTGTTGGTAGTTGTTTTATGTTTTGAATCATCAGTGAATTTTTTTTGGGTAGAATTATTTGGTTTGATTGCCATTATCAATGATTTTGATGATGTCTCTTTAGGTTTGTCTGTAGTTGATGGTATATAATTAAAAGTTTTTTTGATTTTGTACGTATTCATTGATTTTTCAGTGCTGGATTTTGTTTCACTATATATTTTAGACGACATCTTTATATCGGACGGTATATTTTTCTGACTATTTTCTATGTGTGGCTTCGGGCTGATTACTCTAGGGCCTAGACGCTTAGTCGATGAAATGGTAATCAGTGTGGTTGGAGGTGATGTAACCAATTTGTTGTTTAAGGTTGAAATATTTATATTTTGAGTTGTACTTTTTATGGACCTATTGACTACGGTTGATAAATTGTTCTCAGTTTTATCTTCTAACCGGGAATTAGTAGTATTTAGTGGTCGTAACGTAGAAAACATTGAAGTATAATCTGTATTCGATAATTTAGTATTATTATTTTCATCAAACGTTATAATTGGATGTGATGATGTTTGGTCTGAATTAAATTTTTCAGGAAGTGGCGATGACGATGGTATCATTATAGTAGAAGATTGTGCAGTTATAAACGGCACTGTCGTTGTTTCTGAAATTGTAGTAGAAATTAGTGGCAAATGGATGGATGGGGTAATTAATTCTGATTGGTTATCAGACACGATGTTAACGTTTGTAGATTGCGTGGTAGAAAAAATTGATCTCATTTGAATTGGACTATAATGTAAATCATCGTGTAATGTTGTTGTGATATTTGGTGAGATTATAGACGGAAATTTTGGTGTTTGAGAATTATTGTTTTCAATCTGAAGCATTGAAAATAGTGTAGTTGTTGGATATGAAGTTATATCCGAAGGTAACGATGCAGTTTCAATGTTTGTAGTTAGTTTTTTATTAATTATTACTGTTGTTTTTTCTTCGGTTTCATTGAATGTTTTTGGAATACCTGTGGTTGTTTCTTTGTTATTCGAAGACCGTGCATTTTGTTGATTTTCTGGTAACTCACTTGAATATGTACTGTCATCAATGGTTGAGTTTTCATCAGAAATATTGTTACTGGTAGTAGTTTCTGATTGTTCTGTGGTTGGAGAAGAAAATTGTGCTATTGTGGTTAATTTATCGTCAAACGGAAGTTGTGGAACTGAACTACTAATGATTTTTAGTGGATTCGAAATGTCTGATAAAGTCGTTGACATTGACGTTAATGTTACATGATCTGTTTCTGGATTACTATTTATATCAGATGACGTAGACGAGTCTATATGTTTATCACCAGTAGTCGATAGTGGTAAATTTTGAACTTTCTGTGATTCATTAAACTGATAAGTTGTTATCGTTGGTACGGTTGTTGGTATCAGATCTAGATTATCTTTATTGCCATCAAGTAATTTTCCGTCCCTTATTGGATTTGGTTTTTCTTTTAGATGATCTTCAAAATGATGTTCTATTTTGGGAGGTATGTGATTAAAACCATCCGGTTTTTGGTTTGATATGTTGTTCGTGTTATCTATAGCTGCAGGTATTTCTTGAGGCTTGTCATATATGGAAAATGTATTTTGATTATTTGGAGGTTTATTCGTTATGGAGTTAATGGAGTTTTTAATCTTTGAGAAATCGACTATCGGAGTTGAACTAATAAAGCTTGGAATGTGCGTGTACGGATATTGTGCATGCAAAGGTATTAAAAAATGATGGTGATATTCATCTTGCGAAGACGGCACTTGTGAAACGGGAACCAGGTGAGGTGGTGTACCATAAGTTAATGGGATGTATTTCGAGTAAATGGTTTGATGGTAATAAGGATTGAAAAAAAATGGATAAATAGGCAAAGGTGCGATGTTTCTATGTTCCGGTACAGGTTTGGTAGAAGTTCTCGCTCGACTCTTCTTGGCAATACGCTGTATGTTTGTTATCTCGGTGGATGACTGAACATTTTTATTGTATTTTTCAATAAATTGTTCAATCCATGCCCGGAGTATTTTGTCTTCGAATTCTGAAAAAGGAATTGTTAAAGTAAATAATAGTCGTACATGGGTGTAATTAATTTATCTCAGATATAATACATTTTTGAATGAAATTAATATATAATATAATTCTGTGGCTTAGTGAAATAAAGACTAATGTCACATTTTGTGATTGCTGGGGAATGGGATTTGAAATTTTAATTCCCCATAAGGCTCTGTGAATTTTAAATGTAAATGTTTGTGTAATTTTTAATTTTTACCAAAACTTAACAAATTTTTGTTTAAAAAAATTTCACTTTTTATTTTAGATTTTGAGTTTAGCAAAGAATTTATTGGTTTTACAAAGATGTTTATTTATTTTAGATTCTGAGTGGAGTGAGGAATGTATTGGTTTTATAATGATGTTTATTTTGATATTTGTTTATTGTTATTATGTGATAACTTTCTATCAGAAAGCATACTTCGATTATCAAGTATAGCACTTTTTCGGAAAGGAAATGTCCTTTGGGCGGTACTTTGAAAAGGTCATTTTTTGAAATTCTCATTAATATGTAAGATAATTAGGAAAATCTCGGTCTTTTTTTTTTATTTCTAACTTTATTTCTTTTTTTCATAAAATTGACATTGGCCTTTCTTGCTCCAAGCCACAGAATTATTATCGTATATTTACAGCAAAGATCATAGACTTAAATAAAGTCTGAAAATACATTATGAGTCTTACTTTGTCAAAAAAAATTTGAGTTTAATGTAGTATTTTTTTTTTTATATAGAAATTTTAATATAAAATTTTGACGAAAATCTTTGAGTAAAAAATTACGTGGAACAAATCTAAATTTTCAATATTTTTTTTTTTTTGAACATATGTATATTGACAATTTAAGAACGATGGTGAAGTTGGAATTGAGCGGACTGACTAAGTTTCGAAATTATAGCTTTTTGAAGTTCTGATATAATGCAGATATTATATGTTATGTTGAATAACTCTATATTGTCTCATAGAATATTTGTCGTGGTCTAATGTTTAAACATGCCTATTATTATCCTAGGGGTTCTGAGCCATACTTGGGTTTCGAACAAAATTGTTTGCATTTTTTTTCCTTTTACCTAAACAAAGAAAAAACATACAATTTGGGTGTACCTAGAGAACCAAGTTATCGCTCCCTCGGATTATTTTAATCTCGCAAATTCCTCTCGATCTGTTGTGCAAACTTTTCTACCAGAAACCTTTTTCCGATGTATTAAGTGTAGCTTATTTTTTGAAAGGAATTTTTATCTCCGTGGAAACTTAAGGAGGTCATTTTTTGATTTTTCAAGTAGTTTTTATATTATCTGGAAAAACCGGAATAAAATGTCGGAAAAAGGGAAATTGTACGAAACGTAGGTATTAGTAAAAAAATATTTTGGCCTTCTTTTGTCCTGTGAACTTTTCCACCAGCAGATTTGCTCCGATTCACAATGATAGCACTTTTTCTGAAATTAAATCTGACTGGAAAGGTACTTAAAGAAGATAATTTTTCGATTTTCCCCTTAAATTTGAAAAACCTGGAAAAAATGGGAAAACTGGAAAAAAAACGGGAAAATCGATACAATATTAAACAAATATTATTAAAGAAAATATATAATGCCAATTTAATTATTTTATCATAATATGATATGCATATATATATATTGTTGACAAATCATCACTGTCAACTGAACTCCACTCTGAATCGTTTTTTCGTTAGCAATGGTTTGTCGTTGCTAACAGATATAGATTAAATTACCTATTACAGTAGCTGCACCCATCTCCATTATCTTAGGGCGTCTTTTTTGTATATTATTTTTATAAAAAGAAATGTTTTCTATACAAATGAATCTGCACTCGAAAGTAAATTATTGAGTGTTTACTTGATTGAAAATGCTTAAGGAATATTAATTGAAGTGATGTTCTCGGGAATTTCTATTGTGGAGAGTATACAAATTATTTGAAAAGTGAATTATGATGGCTAATAACAAATTATAATAGAATATAATATATTAAATTTCAATATTTATCGTTATCATTATGCTTCATATTTAAACCGTTTTTGTTTTAATCAATATTTTACAAAATAAGATTTGTTTTTTTTTTTTAATTTTTAAAGAATCAGGAATTATTTTAGAACAATATGTACTTCTTGATGGAACGCCAACAATGTTAATCTAAAGAGACGGTTCTATATATGTCATAAAATTAAGAAAATTAATATCATTGCATTCATTATTTTATCTTTTACTTTAATCGCATAATATTATAATTTTACAGTTTTACAATTTTAAAATTGTACAACTTAACCTCACCTAACCTTTTTATTTTTTTAATGTTCGAGTTCGATAATATATTTAAGAAGTTCGGTTTGACTCGGGTTCGTTAGTTTTAAGGAAAGTTACGTTCGATTCGGTTTGACCTTAAAAACCAGGGTTCGTAACATCTCTACTATTTTCTTTTTGTAGAATCTACATATAGGTAAGCCATATTTAAAGACAAATTCTGTGTTGTTTAGGTAAAAGGCCCTAAATCTAAAAAAAGCGAAAATAAGGTTAAATAATTTTACCGCTATTTAAAATAATCACATTCTCGTATTTTTTAACTTAAGATCTTTTATTCGAGCACCACAAAATTATAAAAATAGTCTATAGGTTACCTTTTATTTGAAATTTACAAATTAAATAGTGTGTCAAGTGCCATTAACCGGCATTATTTTTAAAAATAAATTGAGAATCGCTTTTCTTTGTTAAGATGTTATCAAGTACCTAGTGTATAATTCAATTAAGCTAACCCGCTAGAACTTTGTGAAAAGATAATCGATTTACAATTTAACTTGGCGGTAATAGCTTCTAATCGTCCGTATCGGCAATGAAAATGGATTTTATAAATTTAATAAGTTTTGATAATTAATTGAACTGATTAAATTAAAATCTACTGTGAAATCCGAAATAATTTACTCGGAGGTTTATATATATATACAGGGTGATCAACATAACGTGATTTATAACTTCAACATAAGGCACTCGTTATTTCAGGAAGTATTTACTTTTTTCCGAATTCGTTTTTTAGAAAATTTAAGTAGTAATAATCAGCTCTAAAATGTCACATTACCGTTATTTTTGATCACTCTTACTTTAAGGGGTAAAACCAATGAACTATTACTTACTTTTGATATTCAAATGATAACCTATCTATGTTGAACATTTCATTAATTTAAATACATTTTAGTGTTGACATAGTATATTGATCTAAATTAAAATTTGTACTTCCATATTATACAAATATTATATTTTATGCAAATTTTAGAAACAGTTATTTCGATTTTTTTTTACCTACATAAATCTGTTTTATATCGTTGGTAAGGTATCTTTTTGCGTGGGTGCCAAGAGTCATTTTTATAGGAGTTTTTTTTTATTCTAAATATGGTTATAATATAGGTTGGGTAGAAACATGGGTAAAGAGACAGTTTTTCCAATTTTTTACCCTATAAAAGTTAATTTTCCTAAAGCCGGTCTACCAAAATGTTTGTTTTTCTAAAATATTTCAATTATTTTATTTGTATATTTATTAGTGATCATGCTGCCACATATTCGTTTTATTGTAATAAGACCAATATTTTAAGAACATTTTTATTTGTATGAAAAATTAGATTTGGTGGTATTAAACCTGAGGAAATTAGATCGGGGCAAATCGATTGGGAAAACTGACATAATCAGCAGTCGTTTTATATTACCAAATAAATTGCAAACAATCTTCGGATACCGATGAGTAAAAACAATGTTTAGTATTTTGGAAGATAACTATTTTTAACAAGTAATATAGTACTGGGAACTAATAAGTGGGCCCAGCAATTGGGTTTCTTGTGCTAAATTCTGTAGAACTATACTAATTTATTACGTACGATGTAAATTTACTTTTGTGAATTTTACACGTTAACGGTTTTTGTGAGCATTATTATTGCCCATCAGTTAACACCGCGGCGGTTGTGAATCGCGAACTGCAAACTTATAGTTTTTGAAGTTTAGAGTTATTAATCCATTATTTTGTACGTACGTGGAGAGTAGAAAATAACAAATTGGTATTTTATTAGTATTATTATTTATTATGTCGCAGGGTGATATTTTGGCACCCTTTGCGACATCTCTTGAGATAATGAAGTTAATCAATATCTGTTTTTTTTTTTTTTATATATATATATATGACTCACGGTGATAAGGACTACAAATATTCATATTTAAATTAAATTTCTATGTTTTGGTAAAAAGACCAGTAGCTTGTATACGGGATAATATATGAGTTTTGTTTTGTTTTTAATGAAATAAGTATTCTTCTTCTTTTTATTTTACTAGGTCCCTTTAAATCCAGCCCTCCAGTCAAATATTCTTCCATATAATTCTATTCTCCGTTATATTCCAGGTTGTATCGCTTCCTGAACGAGGTCTTCTTAGTGACTACTTTTCTGTTTGATTGTTTTTGATTGCAGTTCTTATTATTAATTCCGGTTTTCTCCATTAATGTCCTACCGATTTTATTCTTCTCAATAGAATTTATATTATAAAGATAAGACGTTTAAAAATATATTAGAGTTATCGATTGTTTCTTATCTTTCATTCAGTATTAAATTGGCGATAAGATAATCCAGATTTATAATCTAACACGAGTTACTCGATGCGCTCGTCGGTTAACTAATAAATAAATAAAAATAAGTTATTTACCCCGTTATTTCTATAACATATCTAAACGGATATTATCGAGACTTTCTAAAATATTTTATTTACAATTTTGTTATTTATTTTTACCTTAAAGTTAAGGTTTAAAACTTTTAGGGCTAAACGTTAGGTTATTGGTTGAGACAAGAGAGCCCACACTCTAAATCTGCCACTGATTTGTTTGTCTGTATATACAATCCACAGCTAAGAGTTGTTGAAGTCTAAAAATGTACATACAGAACTGGTAAATTTTGAAGCTAGATTTTTTAAATTTAATACCAAAACTTATTGTTACAAGGTTATTAATATTTTTGGTACAAAAATTGAATTCTTTTATTGATTTATAAGTTAATCTGGTGCTACGGATGAAAAAAAAACATTTATTATTACAGTTAATTTAGTGGACATTGGCAAAGAAGTACCATTTAAAAAAAATTAATTGCTGGTTAACAAAACGCTCCGCCTCCCATAATGAAAAAACTCGATATTAATTTTAATTATTTTAAATTGAGTTTAATATCTTTTTTAAATTTAAAAAAAAAAAAAAATGTTCTCGTAAATAATTTGTATTCGTCCGAGAACGTGAGATACCTTATATTTTATTTAATATATTTTTTTAATCACTATATGGTGATATTAATTTTAATGTATTAAATTGTTTAAGTGCAACGTTAAAATACGTTACGTATAATGAAGTGATTTTGAAAAGTTTATAATGATTCATAAAATATATAAATGATGCGACGATTATTTTTAATCGTGTTTGACTTTTTACGAAGATAATGATTTAACGCGTTTGCAAAATGTATTTTAATAAATAATTGATTTCCTATATTATTAAATTATTTAAAACAGTATAAAATAAAAGAGATTCAGTAATGTTAAATTTCAATAAATTGACTTATGTATAGAATTTATTAAAGTTAAAAATAACTACCAGGTTAGTGATTGGTTATTTTGTCAATCGGACAACTATGTATACTAGTAAATAATGGCAGTTTTACTGAGGGGGGGGACTAGACCCCCCAAGCTCCGAATTTAGACTACACAAAGTAGTATTTGTGTTATAATTTTGAAATTAAACTTCAACTTCGTTGTTAATTGAAACTTAGGTACTTTAATATAGATAAGTTATGAAATGATATGCAAGTTAATTAAAATACATTAATAAATCGGTAAGGAATCAGACACTTGAGGTTACCGTGGATATCTCATGTGGATATCCATGGATATCTCATGTCAAAAGACAAACCTCCCACCTGTGAAACTTGCGGTTTCTCAACTCACAGTCAAACATATCCTAACGGAATGTCAACTGTAAGAACAGGAGCAAATTAATCTCAACTTGTCCGAAACTTTTGACGCATCTCTGGGACCAAACCCAGTCCAAAACAAGAAAATTATAAAATTTCTAAAATAAACAAATTTAATCAATAAAATATAATTAAATTGTTAAATCATGTAACATAATTTGATTTTTTTCCCTTTTTTTTCTTTTTAATAATTGTAAATAATAATTAATACGTTGTAACTAATGGCCTATATTTCCGAGTAATAATAAAAATCAATAAAGAAAAAATTAAATTAATAAATATTGGGTAAATATTTTATGTATGTTAAATATATTGCAAATTAATATCAAAAGATCTCGTTCCCAGAAATATATCAAAAACCAGAACTGCTAGTATATGATGGTATTACTTATAGAAGCCGAGCGTAGCAAGGAATGAATTGGTTCTAAGTGTTATAAATTTTGAGGGGAGCGAGAAATTATTATACTTAGGAAAAAAAAGGCAATACAAAATCTATTATTTTAAATTTTTTCCATTTTATTTTTCTACCAAAAATCTTGCATCGAATTTCATTTGTAGTATATTTTCCAATAGTTAGTGCATAGGAAAGTTGTTTTTTAAATTTCTGAGTAGTTTTCTTTATAATTTAAGAAAATAGAAAAGTTTACGGTATAAATGATTTGATTTTTTTTTTTAATTTACGTTTTTTCAAAATAAATTAGTGTAATGTAGTAATTGCAAGTTTTAATTTTAAAGAAAATCGCAAAGAAACGCGGCATTTCA